TGTTCTCATTGGCCCAGGCATTCCCGAACTCTGAGAACACACAAAACGTGCACTTGAAAACCACAACTTGCAACATTTTCATGAGCTTCTTGCAATGCACTTAGGAAGACATTTGAGTAATAAAATAACACTTTATTAAAGGGTATTCATAACAGAATAAAAATAAGTAATAAACCATATAATATTGTGAAAATACAGTAATCAAATAAAACATCTAAAGGGGTTTAAGTCACTCCGCCCTGTATTGCATACTTTATTGCTTGGAGGAAACTATGGTTTACCTTGGTGCATTTTTGTAAGGAATGTTACAAGAAAGCGTGACTAGAAAATAGTTGATATTTCAAGTCTTACCAAACCAAAATTTCCTGATTATCCATGCAACTACTGGTTGTGAATGAATGATGCATGATGAATGAATGATATAGATGAATGTACTACAACTTTAAAAAGTAGCTGTTCCATATCTCACCATAGAGTTCCTGTGATCCGGGACTTTTGCTACTGGGGTCCGGTGCACTCCACATGAGGTAACCGCTGCTACTACGCCTGGGCATGTCCTGTGAGGAGCCTGAAGCTAAGAGTCCTTTTGAAAACCTTCTCAAGGCATCACACCATGAGCTGGAGGATCCATAGATGGAGCTGCCATCTATCCACGCGGACACGTGATTCACCTGAAATGAATTATGGGTAGATCAAAAACTCAACAGGCCCATTCCAAATCTCCTACAGTCAATTGTGACTACATGCGCACCTGTGTACGGGGATTGTTGGGACTTTTGCCTGTGCTCGGGTCCCACTCTGCTCTCTGGAACTGGAGAAGGACCGGTTGTGAGGAGTCAAAGACGGGATCTTCTTTTTGGACTTCAATATGCATGAACTCAGGTGGGCAACCAGGTCTACGGGATTCTGAGATCTCAGCCCACACATGGTAACCTAATGTAGCAATAAAGAGCGTGTGTTAAAGTGGCCATTGGAACTAAATTCTCTTTGACCTTTTCAAAACCAAGAAAACATCTTTTGAAAATAAGCTGCAAAAACATCTCATTGCATGTGAAACTCTCGAAGAACTCTATAAAGTGCTTAATTCTTAATAGCACCAGTGGATATTTTAAGCAATTTTGTTTTAAGCAATAAAATAATCTTTGTGGAATGTAAAATGTTCTTCTTTAGCATCTGGCTATATGGTTCTATTTTGGAACCTGTATTTTCAACAATTATTCACTGATAATTTTCCCAACCAAAATGCTGTTAACCTGGGAACCTCTGCAATCACTATCTATGTTTACATGCACCAAAAATAATCGGTATATTATCGGATTGATTGCTCAATCTGAATGAAAACCCTACAATAAACAGATAGATCCGAAAGAAATTTAGATCGGATTGAAAAGCGTAGTGTACAGTGGCGCTGTAGCGTGTAGAAAGATTGGGATGAAAAGTCCCCATTCATTGTGATTGCATGGAAAAGAGTGACCAGTATAATCTTTAAAATTTGCGTGAAAAAAAGTCAAAATTGTGAGATATAACGTATTAATTGCGAGAAAAAAGTATGAAGTATTTATAAGTATTTATTGTAAGATAAAAACTCGCATTTGCAAAAAAAGTCAGAATTGTTATATATAATCTTGCAATAAATAGAAAAAAGTCATAATTGGGAGGTATAACCACCTAATTGTGAGAAGAAAAGTCAGAATTGAGAGATATACACTTGCGAGAAAAAAATCAATATTGTGAGATAAAAAACCTCGTAATTGCGATAAAAAAGTCAAAATTGTGAGATAAAAAAACGTGTAAAATTGAGAAGAAAAAAAAGAATTGAGATATAAACTTTCAATCGCAAGATAAAATAATTGTGAGATTAAAAACTCATATTCGTGAGAAAAAAGTCAGAATTGAGAGATTATACACTTGCGAGAAAAAAGTCAAAATTGTGAGATAAAAACCTCATAATTGCGATAAAAAAGTCAAAATTGTGAGATAAAAAACGTGTAAAATTTAGATTTTTTTTTTATTGAGATATAAACTTTCAATCGTAAGATAAAATAATTGTGAGATTAAAAACTCATATTAGTGAGAAAAAAGTGAGAATTGAGAGATATACACTTGCGAGAAAAAAGTCAAAATTGTGAGATAAAAACCTCGTAATTGCGATAAAAAAGTCAGAATTGAGAGATTATACACTTGCGAGAAAAAAGTCAAAATTGTGAGATAAAAACCTCGTAATTGCGATAAAAAAGTCAAAATTGTGCGATAAAAAAACGTGTAAAATTGAGACATTTTTTTATTGAGATATAAACTTTCAATCGCAAGATAAAATAATTGTGAGATTAAAAACTCATATTAGTGAGAAAAAAGTCAGAATTGAGAGATATACACTTGCGAGAAAAAAGTCAAAATTGTGAGATAAAAACCTCGTAATTGCGATAAAAAAGTCAAAATTGTGAGATAAAAAAACTTGTAAAATTGAGAAAAAAATGAATTGAGATCGCAAGATCAAAATGAATAAGTCTGAATTGTGAGATTAAAAACTTGGCTGTGTCTCAGTCAACAGGCTGCACCTAGTTTAAATGAAGGAGACACTCACCGAAGGCCAGGGAGAGAAGAGTTCTGTTCTTGTATGACTGGAGACCGGATTGGCCGCTCATGGCCGTGTTGCTTATCTGGCGGGGGTTGGGCAGGTGTGGCTCCTGTCGGGGCAGATAAACTCCATCCCTATACTGCGCCGGCAAGAAGCGGACCAGAGCTGCATCTGTAGGGGCAACATCCTGATGTTTAGAACAAAATATTTCTTCATTTTCTTTTGTAAAAAGCATAAAAAAAGAATTAATTCACTCACCTGCAGCCCCTCGATCATGATATGCCAAATTATTGTACCAGCCATCATACCTTTGAACTTCCCAGGTAATGGCAGAACTCGCACCTGTTTGGTTCAAGATCAAAAGGGAGTTTGGCAACACTATAATAACTTACATGAATAAGTCATTAACAAACATTATATGATGATTCACAGTACTGCATGTATTCAAGATGGTCTTTAAATACACATACTTTTTTTTTTATCTAGGACTTTTTCAAATCTAATTTACACTCCAAAACTTAGTTTTTTGGTGTAAAATGAAGGTAGAAATATGCAAAATTCTGCTCTATTTCTAGGGCAAATAAAAGCTCATCTGACAATGAGACTTTTCTACACTGCTTATTTATTGCGAAATAGTTTTTTTTATTAACCTTGGAGCACAAAATACTGCAACACTTCATAGTTTCATGAATAAGATAACTGATATTATTATGTAATGTTTAACAAATGTTTAGTCAACGAAAAGCTAATGAATATTCAAATAGCTGGAAATGCATATTTTCCTATTTAAACAGAGTGACAACTTCTATATATAATTTTTCTTTATTATTATTATTATTATTTTTGTTTTTAACAATATACATTGCATTATTAGAATTAGAAAAATAATAGATAGATAGACAGATAGACAGATAGACAGATAGATAGATAGATAGATAGATAGATAGATAGATAGATAGATAGATAGATAGATAGACTCACCGACAGCTTGGCAGAGAACAGACAGTGCAGTTAAAGTCCTCCAGATCACCTCACATAAGCCCATTCTTGCAAAGCAATGAAGCACCTCTTCGCCCAAGAGCACTCCACTTCAGACTAGAGAAAACACTAAGTGCTGTGTGTGTACAAGTAGACCCAGCTTTCCTTTAAGAATGACAAAGCATGGACCTCGAAACAAATATTAAGGCAATTAAACCGAAAACACAGTCACACACCTGTCTTTAGAGAAAGCAGACCTCGCCTGTCCGCATAGATCGAATGGCAGTGAAAATAAAAGGAAGAGTCCGAGAGTGACGGAATGAGAGTCCGACCCACATCCACACCTGACTGTTTCGCACTGAGTTTACCATGCAGGGCTGGTCATGAGGTTGACACCTTTCTCTGGAAATACCAATCAATGCAAATCAAAGCTATTATTAGGAAGCGCGATCGTTTAAAAGATGAGCGCCGACCGGATCATCTTATTTCCAGGACTCATATTTCCCCGTCTTGTTTTACGGCTCTCGTTGCGTCCACAGGTGAGTTGCAGTGCGGCATTGTGGTTGGGTTGAGATTTGCAAATGTCTATTAAGCGGGATCTAATTCTGTCAGACTTGGAGAAAAAGAGAATAAACTTATGATAATCAAAATGTGCGCTTACCTGGACCTACCTAAGCGGCATAACGGGCTGTTATATGAGTAGCGTTTTCTGTGTTGTAAAAAGTATGCTCTATAGAGAGCCTCTCTCTCTTTTATTTGTATTTTATTTTATTATAATTTTTTTTTTTACTATTTGTTTCAACAGGATTGAACTAGCCTATGCCTAATTTTTACCACTAAAGTTAGAATTGAAAACTATCACCCCGCTAGGGAACGTTCTCATAACTTTGAATAACTTCCAAGCTTCTGAAGTTAGGAACGTTCTAGGCTACGTTAACATAACGTTCTTTTAAAGTTATCAAGGTAGGCTACATCGTTTTCCCTGAAAAGTGTTAGTTGAACGTTCATCTGTTGTTTGAAATGTTATAGTAGTAGGCTACTTGTTACTTTTGAATGTTCTCTCAAAATTCTGAAACGTTCCCGCAATATGTTTGAATTATTAGTTTTTTTTAAACATGTAGGCTATAAAACTGGACGTTTAGCGTTCAGAGAACATTCATAAATAAAACTTAAAACTTTTAACTAAAAAAAAAAACACTTGAACGGTAGCAAAACATTCTTACAACGTAAATCGCTTGTGAAATGAGGTAAACACAGGCTGCTCGAGCACATCTGTACGATATTTCAACAAAACATAGCATACAATTGCAATGATTTAGCTCTTAATTAGTGCTAAACTACAAAAAAGGGGGTTTGTGGTTGACTACTGCAAATTTCTCTGGAACGGCCAAACTAACGGGTTGCGCGAGACGCACTTCAATAGCGGCCGTAAAATTTCGATACCCTTGAAAGTCACTGTATAATTCGCACACTAGACTGTTATCTGCAATCTTCAGGTAACCGAGCCTCTTGCCAACACTGTCCTGCTTTCAGCTTTAGTTCTCGCCTGTGGAGGGAAGATGACTTTCTACGATGGCATTTACCCGTTCTACTCGCTACAAAGAAGCCCGTTCATCATCGACATCAGCCTGCTGGTCGCGATCCTGGTTTTCTCGGTTCTGGCTGTCAGTTTCATCTTCATTCTACCAGGAATACGTGGCAAATCGGTGAGAGAGCGAGATCTAGAACACTATTGTCCATCTTCTACAGCTCTCCAATAGGGGAAAATGAAAAATTGGAATGTGAGATGATTAGAAATTATAACACGTGTGAAGAAATGTAGACTAAATGTCATTTTATGATGTTTAGGCTACTTGTACATTTTTAGAAATGTCATTTCTTTTACATTTTGATTTTGATTGATTGTTGTAAACTCTGAGGTAAAAGGAGTTCCCTTGTACCTTGAATTCACCTGACTTATCAAACACAGCCTATTTAAAGTATTTCTTTCTATGGTTTTACAAATATTGAGATTCATTTTCTAATCTTAAGGTCTGTACACTAAGACAAAAATTACAATATTGGGGTATTTTTGTCCGTTTAGGTGACATTTTTGCCCTTATTGACTTATAAACCGTCTTTTACATCAACTCTTTTGTGTACAGATCTGCAAAAAATAAATAAAAGAACATCAAAATATAATGTCCTCTTTTTTTTCAGAGACTGTTCTGGATGTTCAGGATAATCATTAGTTTATTTATCGGGGGTGTTTTAGTTGGTGAGTATTTCAAGTATTTTCATTAAGTTTATTAGGAAATCAAGTTGTTATGTATAGCGGCCTCAACTATTTTCACTCCCAAGTTAAGGTTATGCTTTACTTCACCAATTTTTCAATGACTTTTAACCGAGGTCAAAGTAATAACCAGAGATTGTCTTTCATTAAATGTAATGCCCTCTTGGCTTGACATATTTGTTATGTAATGCAATGACATTCACATATTGTTAAGTGTGAGTACGAGTCTAAATATTCAGCAGGAACAATAGAAACAAATGTCCCTTTAAGTCCACTTATTATAAAAGAGCTGCTAACTTGTATGGCCTACACTTTCCTTCATGATCTGCTAAACTCCTCTTGTCTGCTTCAGTGTTGAATTTTACCGGAGACTGGGCTGAAGCCAGCGTGAAGACCAACGCCACCTACAAATCCTTCAGTAACGCAGTGGTGTCCGCTGAGGTGGGACTGCACGTGGGCCTGTACGGAATAAACATCACACTCAGAGGTGAACAGGACGAGTCCGCGACATTTAAGGCCCACTTTTTTTGAGCCACGAAACTCTGACCGGGTCTTTTGACATCTGTTCCTTCAGGCGAGCCAGTATCGCAGATAAACGAGACCATCGACTACAACGAGATCTTCAGTTGGTCGAGCAGCGTGGATGAGCAGTACGGCGACGCGCTCGAGAGGGGTCTTCCCAACCCCATCCTTTACATCGCAGAGAAGTTCACACGCAACAGCGCTTGCGGGCTCATCTTCCAGTACAGATACTCAGGCCGCTTCGCCTCAGCCAATCTCTGGTAAACCAACACACAGTCACCACCAATCTCTTACTGTAGTGTAAAGAAACTCCGTCCTATTCAACAAATGCAAACAAGCTAAAGTAAAGAATGGCCTTCTCCCGCAGGACGGCTTTTTGCTGCTGGCTGGTGGCCAATATCCTCTTCTCAATGCCCGTCATCCTCTACGCCGGGTACATGATGATAGCCACGGCTGCTTTCATCTTCTTCTCCATGGCTTCCTTCTCAACTATATACAACGTGCCCCAATGTGACTTCAGCATAGGTGCAGAGTCCTTAAGGACAGACTACAGCCATTCCTTCTGGATCGCTTTGGCAACGGGTAAATGCTCCTAATGGGAAAGCGGGCCACTCTCGAAAGGGTTTTGACTTGGAAAGCATATACTTTATAACATGATTACGGTTGATTTTCAGGTTTACTGTGCGCTGTGATTGGGTTGGTGGTGGTGTTACTGGATTGTCTATTTCCTGCGAGGATGAGGGAGGCGTTCAGCGTTGGCGTGGACAACGAGGAAGACGAATGCCATACCGGTGAATGCTACCTCAACTCAGGCTTTCTAGAGGGAGTGATCTCTGATGACATCACACAGACGGGGAATGGCTCTTTGCCTCAGCAGATCACCACATTAACAGTATGTTTTATACACGAATAAATGCATTTTTATTAACATTAGCTGAAATTTACTCACCCTCATTTCGGTTTCTTTCCGTGGAACACAAAATAAGATGTTTTGAAGAATCTTCACGCTGCTCTTTTCCATACAACGACTGCATATTACTACTAACACCAAAATGGTGTCGTTAAATGTTTAAAAATGCACTGTGTTTGCTGTTGAAATATTTATTGTTTTCTTTTTTCTTTCTTTTTTTTTTTAACAGAGGCTTTGAGGGGCGGTTTGTTGTCGTCCACAACTACTACTTGAAAACTTGCAGACTGAAACTTTCTGGGAGCATCTGTATATAAAATTGTTACTGTTTCTATTGTTCTATTCTATTGTTCTACGTCATATACATATGTATACATGTACATAACGCACAAAAAATAAAAATATTTAAAAAAAAAATCTAATTCTACAATGTGTCCATCCATTTTCATTATTTGTGTTATAGTATGAATTTAGTAAAATGAGATACTATGCACACATTATTGCAATAACGACATTTGGCGATACCAGGATTGAATTCATAACCACATGAATGTGGAAGTTTCCAGGTAATTTAATTCAAGGTATATTAAACCAGGCTTACCGGTATTATCATCAACTAGAAACTAAAACCATAAAAACCCATTTTCATTACTTAAAATTAGTGCTGTCAAATCGATTAATCGCATCGAACATAAAAGTTTGTGTTTATATAATATATGTGTGTATATTTATTATTGTATTCATGTATATATATTATATGTGTTGTGTGTGTCTGTATATATATATACACATATAATTTTGTGTTTATATAATGTGTGTATATATGTTAAATGTGATTAATCTCGATTAATCGATTTGACAGCAGTACTTGAAATAAAAAAAACATGAACTGAAATAAAACATTTTTTAAATCTCTCAAAATATTTTCATTTACTTTAAATTGAAGTAAATAAACTACAACTACAGAAAAACTATATAGATATAAAAAAAGCACACAAGATAAAACTAAAAAAACAACAAAATTACTAAAACTTTATTAAAATGACCAAAATTAAAATGAAAACAAAATATCTAATTCAAAATATTAACAAAACCTATAATAGTACATCATTGGTACTAAAACAACACTGCTATATGTGTGTGGATTTAATGCTCAGAGAAAAAACTAAAATGACATACCTGAAATGCAGATGGGGTTCATTCATGAGATAATTCTGACTCACTCATTCTATTATTTATAATATCATGCATGAACATGAATGCAGCTCAGGTTTTCTGATTAGTAAATCTTTAAGTCTTCAAAATCCAGCATGCTGAACTAGTAATCTACAGAAATGAGTCATTCATAGTGTACAGTACCCATTTATCACAGAGACACCGAGGACAGCCAGAAGAACTGAAATGCAGCCTATTCAGAAAATGTAACAGTAATCTTTGGATATTAGCATGCTTTAGTCCAATTTTTGAGTTTGTGAAATGAGTATTGTTAATCAAATGTAGTGATAATGCCCTACTTTGTCGATTAAATCGTCAGTATCTTAACTTTAGTACAGTCACTTGGTATTTTTCATTCATAAGTGCTGGTAGCACTTATGAATGAAAGGGCTGGTAGCACTTTATTTCACAGACCTTGTTCCCCATGTACATACTATGTACTTTTTATAGTAATAACTAGGTACTAACCCTGAACCTACACCTAAACGTAACCTTAAACCATGTAGTTACCTTATATTACCCAGTACTTTCTTAGGTAAGTGTACTGTAAGTACACGTACTGTAAAATAAAGTGCAACCAAAAGGCTTGAACCAAAGGCATTTAACATATATACAAACTAACAAGTCTGCCATGGAAGACTGTATGTATAATTGCATTAATAAGCAAGTAACAGCCCCCCTTTGATAAAGTAATTATGTGATTATGTGTGCATGTTTGCACTCTTTCTAATGATCTTTACATGCAGTCTGCAGCCACATGAAGCAAGATGAATATTTTTCTGCTTTTTTTAGGAGGAGCTGTAAATGTTTGTTTTTTTAACGTCACCGGAAAAGGTCCCAGGTTTAGGATTCCTTATATGTACACCGGAGTCTCTTGACCAGTTAACAATCTGAACATGACGGCCGGCATAGTTTTCATGTTAATCTGTTGAGAAAAAGGAAAAGACACCTCGTTTTAATAGCATTCAAGTCATTAATAAACTACGCAATAAAAAATAATTGAATGCAAAAATGCGAGAAAGGATGACGACAAAAAGCAAGGGGTGTAAAGTACTAATCATTCCTCAGAACTGTACAGTACTTACGTATTGTTTTGAGGAATTTGTACTGTACTCGAGTTCAGTCGAAACTGAAAACTGACGCAATTACACTGTCATTATAAAAAAAGCACGTATATAATTAGCTTCCATTTTTTATTGAGTGTTTTTAATTGCTTTTAACATTTTCTTTTCATAATTTTACAACCGTGTTGAAATGATACATGTCATACATTTTCTATTTTAGGCATGTTCCTCATCCACACTTAACACATAATAATAATACATAACTCATGAATAAAAAAAGCCTGTTTCACACTTTTTCTCAGAAAAACTTTAGTTCCCTGGCCACTTTATTAGGTACACCTGTTCAGCTCCACATTAACACAAATATCTGATCAGCCAATCTCATGGTAGCATTTAGGCATTTAGACATGATGAAGACGATCTGACGATCTGATTTAAGTGACTGAACCAAAACCTCACCAATAGGTCCTCACTGGACAATAGAAGATTGGACAAACGTTGAGACGGGATTTCTGCTGTGGCATTCAGATGGTTTGCCAGTGCTAGCAAGGTGTACCTAATAAAGTGCCCATTGAGTGTAATATACACTCACCTAAAGGATTATTAGGAACACCATACTAATACTGTGTTTGACCCCCTTTCGCCTTCAGAACTGCCTTAATTCTACGTGGCATTGATTCAACAAGGTGCTGAAAGCATTCTTTAGAAATGTTGGCCCATATTGATAGGATAGCATCTTGCAGTTGATGGAGATTTGTGGGATGCACATCCAGGGCACGAAGCTCCTGTTCCACCACATCCCAAAGATGCTCTATTGGGTTGAGATCTGGTGACTGTGGGGGCCATTTTAGTACAGTGAACTCATCGTCATGTTCAAGAAACCAATTTGAAATGATTCGAGCTTTGTGACATGGTGCATTATCCTGCTGGAAGTAGCCATCAGAGGATGGGTACATGGTGGCCATAAAGGGATGGACATGGTCAGAAACAATGCTCAGGTAGGCCGTGGCATATAAACGATGCCCAATTGGCACTAAGGGGCCTAAAGTGTGCCAAGAAAACATCCCCCAGACCATTACACCACCACCACCAGCCTGCACAGTGGTAACAAGGCATGATGGATCCATGTTCTCATTCTGTTTACGCCAAATTCTGACTCTACCATCTGAATGTCTCAACAGAAATCGAGACTCATCAGACCAGGCAACATTTTTCCAGTCTTCAACTGTTCAATTTTGGTGAGCTCTTGCAAATTGTAGCCGCTTTTTCCTATTTGTAGTGGAGATGAGTGGTACCCGGTGGGGTCTTCTGCTGTTGTAGCCCATCCGCCTCAAGGTTGTGCGTGTTGTGGCTTCACAAATGCTTTGCTGCATACCTCGATTGTAACGAGTGGTTATTTCAGTCAAAGTTGCTCTTCTATCAGCTTGAATCAGTCGGCCCATTCTCCTCTGACCTCTAGCATCAACAAGGCATTTTCGCCCACAGGACTGCCGCATACTGGATGTTTTTCCCTTTTCACATCATTCTTTGTAAACCCTAGAAATGGTTGTGCGTGAAAATCCCAGTAACTGAGGAGATTGTGAAATACTCAGACCGGCCTGTCTGGCACCAACAACCATGCCACGCTCAAAATTGCTTAAATCACCTTTCTTTCCCATTCTGACATTCAGTTTGGAGTTCAGGAGATTGTCTTGACCAGGACCACACCCCTAAATGCATTGAAGCAACTGCCATGTGATTGGTTGATTAGATAATTGCATTAATGAGAAATTGAACAGGTGTTCCTAATAATCCTTTAGGTGAGTGTATATATATATTATATTACTGTATTTTTACACCCCTTCCAGAGGCTAGATTATTACTAATGTTCCACCAAAACAGACGTATATATATAAAGCCGTACCTCTCCAACGGACACTGAAAGGGCGTGGACGATTTTCTCATGCGCCATCGCCACCACACTCTGTCCATTTATCTCGATTATTCTGTGTCCGACACGCACCCCTCCCCTCTCCGCAATACCTCCACGCATCAGACTACAGATCTGCGATTCAACAACAGGATGACAGAGTAAGATTGCAAAGAAGTCATGATACAACCAAAAAAAGTCCCCTAACTATGCAAATACACAGCAGTCGATTAGATAAGCTAGGTTATTGTAATGAAAACTGCATCTTTTGGTAAAGCATTAGATGTTTGTTAAAGCTGGTGTGTCATTTTTTTTCAGTGACATGTCTAACTGAGCTATTTTAGTGTCTTTCTTGATCCTTGACACTTACTATTCCGTTCTGAACGCTGAAACCGAGCTGGTATTGCAGGTCTGGTCTCTTGATGAGGACAGTAGTAACAGGTGGGCAACTCACTACACTCAGTTTCACCTGAACGTGATTCTTCAAGCCCTGAAACACAAACATGTGTAATACTGCAGTCTAACGACACACAAGTGTTGAATACATGCATAAGAATGTCCAAACCTTGATGATGCCCTGACAGGTGGCGAGAGGCAGGCCCACCAGACTGGTGTCGTTGACGGCCATGATCTGATCGCCCACATTGAGTTTGCCGGAGCGGGCGGCAGGGCTGTTGTTCAGCATGCAGGCCAGGATGACGGTGGGGAGGATTGAGCCCCAGCCCGACTCCACGATCACCATACCCAGTATCTCCCCCTTCTGCTTCTCTAGCTGAAGCTGGTTACAAAAAAATCGAAATTGACTAAAAGTAAAGAAAGAACTTCAAGGCAAAGAATAAAGGAATATTCCATTCATAAAATGAATATGGGCTGGCAGGTGCTATTTTAAGTATGATGTAGAACCAGCCCAAAAAATCCTCAGATCACGTTTTATTTGTGTTTTGTTTTTTTTGCATTTAGCATATACACCAATATATTGGCCTGGCTAATTAATCGGTCAGTATTTAGCAATTATGAGGTTATGGACATCAGGTGATATAACCAGGCTCGCTTTTAGCACATTTTAGTTTTCTAATATTTTAATGGTTTTTTTTTTAGAGCATTTTGTAGTAGATGTTGTGGAAAAATATTTGATTAATTAAATAAATGTTTGTTTAAATGCTTATATAAATATTTATATAATTATAATTACTTATATATATTAACAAACACACACATATACTCACCCACACAATTATATAAATATAATAGGTACAGTTTATGTGTATATGCACTAATTCATGTTTTTAACGTCCTAGTTATAGCTTTTTAGCACATTTTAGATTTCTAATATTAAAATTTTTGAGAGCATTTGGTAGCAAATATTGTAAAAATAAAATAAATACCGGTAGTATAATAAATGTGTGATTAATTACAAAATAATATAAACATTAATAATAATATTAATAAAAATTAATATGATAACTAATATAAAAATGTAATCTATTAATATAAAAAAATATTAAAATAATAAATACATGTACATATCATTTATAGTTATATGTTTACTATAATAATATATATATAAAATAGATACAAATTATTTTATGTGTATTGGCATAGTTATCAAATTGTTAAATTAAATTAAATATATTACATTTGTGATAAGTATATTGAGTCCCTGATCTTAATTCTACTGGCAGCAGCATTGAGAAACCCAAACTGGTCGACAACTAAATAGGAAAATGAAAATTGATAGAAAAACATGAGGAAAGACTGAAGGGGATCTGGAATAAACAGGTTCGACTCGCAGGAGCATCGCAACACGTTTGCACAAAAGCAACTACAATTCCGAGCTAAGGTTTCCAGTGCTTTAATTATTACCTCTTTAAGGTTTTCAGAATTGGAGAAATGGATGAGGTCGTCATTATACATCTCCTGTGTGTTCAATATGTCACTGTAGTCTTTCTGGCTGAGGTCCTTGGGATTGATCCCATTGGCTTGGAGGAACTCCTGGTAGGCCATGCTGAACGCCTGACCGATGGACTGTGCGATGAGCTGGGCCTGTGTGTGTGGGGGTGGGGAGGGAGAGAGAGAGAGAGAGAGAGAGAGAGAGAGAGAGAGAGAGAGAGAGAGAGAGAGAGAGAGAGAGAGAGAGAGAGAGAGAGAGAGAGAGGAGGTGAACCACTCAGCGAGAGGAGGATACTTGAAGACGTGACGACATCTCAGAGCGAGAGCGTGCTTGACTCAAAAAAACAATTACATGAGCAGAAACTTTATACAGCTCATTGTCAACACGATGAAGAATAAATACAAAACTGACTAGAGGTTAGAGGAGTAATGAGCTACAAACCCACAATTATCTTTGCCTGCAGAACTCCACAGTCCTGGAACACCTGCCAATCATACAGATATGCACATGCCCTGCCTCTTCCCTGTTTGTTTAGTAATTATTTAGGCTAATTTGATAATGCTTTCAGCTACCAAAAAAAGTGTGTGTTTATCACATGTAAAATATTTCTTATTGAATATTACACATTATATATTTGCTTAGCAATTATTTAAGCTAATTTGATAATGCTTTCAGCTACCAATGAAATTGTTCTTTTAATTAAATATTAATATAAAGAAATTCTAACTGAATATGAAATATTATATGCTTTATAATCATTATTTTACTTTCAGCTTCCAATAAGAGTGTTTTTTTTTTATTAAATATTTCTTATTGAATAATAAATAAATATATGTTTGTTTAGTAATTATTTTGGCTAATTTGATAATGCATTCAGTTACCTATAAGTATATAATGTTTGTTTATTAAATATTAAATGTTCCTTATTGAATATTAAACATTGCATGTTTGTTTATGAAATGTCTAGGCTAATTTGATAAAGCTTTCGGCTAACAATAAAAGCGCAGTACTCTCAGATAATTTTACCACATTTAAATCCATAATCTTGCATATAAATCTATAAATTCCACAGAATTCTGCAGACCCCCCCCCCCCCCCCCCCCCCCCCCACACTTAAAATCAGTGCATGAAAGCACAAAATATTCCATCTGGGTTTTTGACTAATAATATGTGTGTATATTATGACAATATACAGACAGATAAGTACATAATAGCTAGTTATTAGAGGGTACCATTCAACACTGATCTGAGGACAGATTCATTATGCAGTTTTTGACTGTACGATTCAAGCTTAAGTGTGTAAGTAACAAACTAGTAAATAATGTCATGTCAACCGAGAAGGAAAAGAAGACACACTTCAGCTTTTCTCCAAAAAATAAAAATAAGTCTCACATCCTCTGACTCAAAGACGTAGCACATCATGCGGTACTGCTTCTGACTCTCTGTGCTGAGGTCTGATTCTGTGCAGTCGAGTGAGGAGGAGTTCGACAGACGGCGGCGGGCCATCAGAACCACCACGCTACCGATGTCTGCGATGTATGAGATGGTGCGGAGCGCGTTGTCCATCATCGTCTCCTGTGAACAAGGATCAGGAGTCAGACAATGAAAAGTCTGTAAGCATTAATCCTTCACCTTGCTCTGTAATGTCAACATTTTTCTTTTTAAAAGAGCAATTTGACTTTTTATGAGATAGTGAAGTGGAAAGCAGGAAGTATTAAGATAGAAAGTGGGAAATGGGATTGGGAATTGACACAGGCCAGATTCAAACCTGCATTTACTAGAGCCCCGTAACGACATATCAGTATCTGCACGATACTGTATATATTGATACAATTACCAGGTTTATATGAATTTTACCCACCTGTGTGTCAGCATTGAGCACCTTGATGGCCTTGGTTGAGATGAACAAGTCAATCTCAGTCAAGCTCTGAGCTTCACCTTCTACAGACTAAAGAACACAGTTACACAAAGGTTACAGTGTCATCTAGTGGACTGAGAGAGAACTTCTGAAACCATTTGCTATTTTAATGGATATTAAATATATTTGTGTGGAGAATCTTATAAAGTACCTTAACAAAGTCCACAGCCTCCTGCGCTTGCTTCATGCGCACGCTTTTAGACGGGTTTCTTTCGGACAGCAGCTGGGTAGAGCCGAGGTAGTTTGCAGCAAAGATTATTCCATTGATGAGATCTTCTGGCTCACATGGACCAGGGACTGGAAAACAAATGCAAACACCAGGATAAACAACCGGACTAATACAACACTTGAAATCTGGGCTAATACCCTTAACCTGACTTTACAATCAACAAATGTATAGATGCATATTTCAAATCTTTAAAGGTTTGTGTCTCAATTGGGTTTAAAATAAGACAGAACTTACTATCCACAAAGCTTGGAAAAGAGGGATTTCTCTGGATCTGCTGAAAAGCAAAACGACAATTGAGGTACAGATTACATTTTACATCTTGCCCCAAAGGATGTATTCTGAGGGACAGAACCGACTCTGAGATTACTGGTCAGCATATAAGTACACTGTTAAAAAAATCTGTGAAATTTACGGTAAAATACCGGCAGCTGTGGTTGCCAGTATTTTACAGTAAAGATATGGTGGCAACCTTTTATGTTTTACGGGACTTAAATTTACGGGCAAAAAAAAAAAACACAATGTAAAGAAAACCTGTGAAATTTACGGTAAGAAAACGTCAGCTTGGATGCCAGTATTTTACCGTAAAAAATATTGTAGCAACCTTACTTTGGACTTAAATTTACGGCAAAAAATAAATAAATAAACAAAACATCAGCTGTGGTTCCCAGTAATTTACCATTACAATACAGTAGCAATCTTTAGGGTTGTACATTTAACAGCACATTTAACAGTATTTTACTGTAAAACTACATGAAATGTCCCGTGAGAGTGAATGTAGTAACTTGCCGGTCTCTTCTGTCCGGATGGTAGCTCTGTACTACTGTGCACTGGACTACTTTGAGGAACCTGTCGAAAACATTAAAACAGACAATAATCATATTTGGATATATAGGTACAATTTATAATTGACATGATGATGAGACATGATTATTGATAAAAACATAAGGCTGAAGCCATAATATAAGTGGATGGTAGTGCTATTGTATTAAAAGCCAGTAGCCAATATCTAGTCAGTTGTAACAGTTACAATTTAATCTTTCAAGAGCCCAAACATTTATTAAACTGTTTAGATTATTTGTGGGTATACATGGAAGTTTATACATTTCAAGAAGTATATGTATAAGCAGGGGTGAAACAACTGAATTTTTAGGGAATGCAACACAAAAATTCTGCCCCTGTATTAGTTAAATTAGCACAATTAGCATTAGCATAATTGGAACCAAATGCATAAAGGTTTGCATAAAGGAATGTTGTGTTGTTTTGCCAACAACCAGTTTTGTATTTTTCTAACAAAAATGCATCGCTTCGCTTCAGAAGGCCTTTATTAACCCTCTGGAGTCGTATGGATTACTTTTATGATTGATGGATGCGCTTTTTTTGGCTTCAAAATCCCAGTTACTATTCACTCCCATTATAAAGCTTGGAAGAGCCAGGATATTTTTTATTATAACTCCGATTGTGTTTGGCAGAAATAAGAAAGTCATATACACCTAGGATGGCTTGAGGGTGAGTAAATGATGGCGATAATTTAATTATAAATTTTTTTTTAACTAACCCTTTAACACTAACAATTGAATAGTCTATTGTTTAGAGCAAATCTTCTAATCTGACTGGCCACCTGCCCAGAGTGTTTCCCTCCCCTGCAGCCCGAGACACATCCCCGTGACCTAACAGGAGACAAGAGGTTTGGAGAATGGATGGATGGAAATCTTCAAATCTCATTGGAAACACTTGTCTGATGCTTGTCTACAAGGAGGTAGACCACTGGTTGAAGTCTGCTGCAATGTAGTTAAGAGTCTCCAAATAAGACAAGAACAGGCTGTCTGATCAACATGCAAAGCTCCCATCCACATTTTTTGGCATTTAGGAATGGGTCAATCTGGAATAAATGCTACTACAATAACAAGGATCCAGTCAAATGGATCCAAATGTTGCAGAAGCAAAGACTTCTTGACAGTTACCAAATAATTCAGTTACCTGTTCTTGACTAGGCCTTGTCTTCTCCTTTTGAACAGGTTTGGCCAAGTCTTTATGCAGCCATTTGTCTGGGGACTGTACAGGCGTATTAACATGGGCTCTGGATTGGCTGTTTCTCCTGCCTGATGATGTTGAAGAGGCCCTGGAACTGTCAGGAGCCCCTTTCCCATTATTTGTCTGATCAGGTGTCTGATCTTTGTTCCTCCATGAGTTATTTGGAGCAATTTTAAGTTTGGTCTTAACTCCAATCACAATCTGGTCTTCCTCAACATCACCATAGCTCCTTGTCTCTTTTTCACCCTTTGGTTTGTGATTACAAACGGGATGGTCATGTCCTCTGTTTTTGCTGTCTCTAGGACTTTTACTTTGCTCGTGTGAATGTTTCCCATCTCCGTCCCTGTTGTCCTCTCTAGAGTATTTTAGCAAATGTCTTTTTTTCCAAGCACCTCTGTCCTCTGGATCTGCAAATTTTGCTTTATTGTTGACCCCGCTACTGTCCTGGTAAGCAATGTCTCTGTTGTGTACTCTCTCCGAATTATGCCCTCTAAATCTGAAACTTTGTCTAGTGTCTCCTCTACATTCTCTGACCACTGGGACATCACAATCTTTTGGACAGCCACTAGCACACTCTTCCTGAACGCTTTCCATTCGATTCCTAGGAGCACAACTTGACCCTGGAGGGATATCCCTTGGGTGTTTGGAAATGTCTTGGTTCCTTCTATAGTTACTTACTGAATCACTTTCTTGCCACAATTTATCGTGACTAGATTCTTGGGGACGACTTCTGTTGTCTCTGAGAAAGACTTCAGAACAACCGCCTTTATGTGGGACCTCATTGTTGTTCAACTCCACTTTGTTCCCTACATAGTGAAAAAAATCATTGTCCTCTTCTTCACTGTCCTCTTCCACTTCTTCCTCAGTCTCTTCTTCATCCTCCTCATCCTCAGCCATGGGGGCTTGTACGAAGGTCGTCTCTGTGATGGGCTCTGGTCGTTTGTAGACCATCTTTGGTGCATCTTTCTGTGGTACCTTGGAAAGGTTTTCTGAGTGTTTCCAAGCCACCTCTGGTGTACAGCTATCCCTGACGTCCCGAGATGTGCCTGGACACTCGGCACCATCTGCACCTTCATGGCAGTCCATTCCTTCCATGTAGCTTTCATCCTCTGGACAACAGTGGACATAGTAGGTCATCCTATCTGCTTCAGTCTGCAGTTCCTCATCTTCCTCATAATCACGCTCCTCCTCTTCTTCCCCAGATCCTACATTATCATATTCGGACAGCGAGTCTTCTTCCATGCTATCTGGCGGAAGGGGGCTTTCGGCTAGGATGGAGTCGTCCCCAGACCCATCACTCAGAAAGGACCTAGCTGGAGTAGGCGAGGATGGTTGGATGTCCAGCTTGTCGTCCTGAAGTTGCTCAGGAATTGGATCAACTCCATCTCCATTGAGCTTTTCACTTCCCTCAGGTGCAGTGCAAGAGGCTGAAGGATTGAGCTCCGAAACAATGGCTCTGGTCCCTGGTCTTCTCATGAGAGCCATGACTAGCTTCATCAGACCCACAGAAGAGGGATTCTGTCAGCCCTGAAAAAAGAAGTGCCAAAAGTGAGTAAAAAATTGGCTTTGATGAGAAAATATAACAACTTTACAGTAGTTGGTGATTGTAAATGGAAACATAATACAGTACATTGTTTATGTCAAACTGATGTAGCCGCTAATGTCATACAGTGCATCAATTCAAATCAGGGACATACTACTAAGAAAACATCTTCTAACTACTTTTACCTACCTTTATAACCTACCTACAATCCCTTTTTAGTTATTTTCCCTCTAGATATCCATGCAGCGCCACATATGTGGAACATTCTTCATATTAAACCACTAAAATGAATTTAAGATCAAAATCACAAGGTGTCTTCATCACAGTGGAAATGGAAGACTAGCTTTTCAATATTAAGTTGTGTGAATTTTCGGGAACAAAAGAGGTCCATTGTCCATTGTCAATAGTGCAGTAATATGAAGCACAGTTCAAACAGAAGTCATTTTCAAACCAAGCAGCTTTCTGTTGGTCAATGTGGTGAATCCATGTGACCAACTTGAACTTGAAATTAGCTTGGGGGGGGATCTTTCGCCCTGAAATTACTGATCGAGTGGATTCCTATTGAAATGGCTGGATTTCAACAGTAAATGTGACCGCACCTTTATGCAGGGAAAAACAGCCACATAATCATCATAAGGATTAAATCATTTATTTAATACAAATAATGCAAAATACAGTTTCTACATTTGACAGGTCCAAAAGTTGCAACATACTAACCAATAATAAAACATGTATTAGCCAGGTAGAGATAAAGATATTCTCAATATGTATGCACTTAATGTTTGGGACAATATATTATGTAGTAAAATAAAGTGTGCAAACATTCCAGCAAGTGCTGGAATAAAATGAGCCAATATCCAGAACTGATTATAAGTCATTCTTCTATATTAAATTTATATCTACACCTTGACTTCCCTGATCTTTATTAAATTTCCTGAACTGTATTAAAACCTCTGAGGAAAACAACCTCATCCATATCTAGCACACAGTATCAGGGAGACAGATCTGCACAATTCAGCAGGTGTATCAGCAGGAAACATGCTGATATTTTCCTGCACTACAGGGATATCTCCCTTCATGAGAGGCATCAGATTCCCAGTGGACATACGGCCTCCTGCTTTGGATTATTGTCTCACTTAATTTGTTCCTTTACACAACACAAGCTTACTTCAACACAGATGGACAAATTTGTTTTAGGATGATATCTTCATAATTATCACGTTTTTTTTTTTTTTCAGGATACTGAAAAATCAGGAAATGTGGATTCTGGGTAACACTACCTGCAGAAGCGGAGCAAATGAACAAAGTTTTTAAAACAGCCTTTTAAGCATGGCTTAAGTGTCCAAATACTTTTGTAGGCCATTGCATTGCTAAATATTTAAGAATGGAAACTCATTGGTGGCAGTAGAATGTTTTTTCAGCCACTGTTAAGATTTGCTAATCTATCTGCATTTAATGTGATTTATCTAAATTTGCTAAGTAAATTGATTCTTATTCCTCATTAATTAGGCAACTCACAGTTTGCAACTTCAGATAAACTGTGGAAATTGGCCCAGACCTTAAAAGAAAAAACAGCAAGCCTAAGCTGAAACCGTGGTTGAAGCATGTAATCGAACACATTAGTATCGCTATTAGATCAGCAAGCAATTTCTAACCGGCCAATATACCCGTCTTCCTTAATGTTCACTTATAATCAGGTCAATGAATTTGCAGAGGGTTTTTTTCCCATTTGGTCTAAATTTTAGAGCTTTCTTATTCAGCAATGCATACTGTAAATGTGCCATCGCTTACTTTTCTGTGAAGCTCATTTAATAAAAGAGGTTTGAAATAAACACCATTTTGAGTATTTGAATGCACCAAAACTTAGGTTTAAATAGATTATCTTAAGTTCCTGAATGTCACAGGGTTCCATTTCCATGACATTTCCAGGGTTCACACACACATTATGAACAATGAATTTCCATGACTTTTCAGATAATTCTTGATTATGAGATAATTTGTTTAAGTTCATTTTATAGAGATAATTGTACCCAAAAAGATCCATTTCAATAAAATATTGAAATATCTTAGAGCAGAAAATAATATATTCACTTATTAAATTTAGTTTAAATTTCCATTGTTTTTCTAGTCTTGAACCTAAAAATTCCCTCACTAAGCATATCTATATTTTCATATTACCTTATAACCATATTACCTTATGACCAATGTATTAAAAAACAAAACAAATACAAGGATGTGCCCATATCTGACAAACTAAATGGGCTGGTAAAGGACAATTACACAAATGCCCAATCTGTCAAACATGGTTTGAAGGTACAAGTGCAACACCAAGATCTGCACGGAGTTTCTGTCTCATCTAAATGTAAATGCTTTTGTCTGGACACTTCCCTACTGAAAAAAACAACCTATCATAAACCAGCCTAAGCTGGTAAAAGAAACACAGCTTTGTTGGCCTTAACTGGTTAAACTGGTCTCCCATCCTGACCAAACTGGTGTTCAGTTGGATTAGCTGGTCGTCAAGCTGGTCTCTAAGTCTGACCAGATAAAAAGTGTCCCAAACCTCTCTAAACACCCCAACAGACAATAAAAGCGGTTTATGCTGATTTAAGCTGTTTTTTTTTTTGGCAAGGTTGCAAAGTATGGTCAGATAACACATTGTATGGTCAGATTTGTACAGCTATTGCCCTATATAACAGCTTCGCGCAAAACATTCTTTCAATTCTGAATTTCAAATATTTTGAAAAGTTTCTAAATTAACCTCCTTCAGCACCAAAATAAGCCTCATATCCAGCAGTTTTGATGTCACAATCCATTCTTCCGGTGATCTCGAGCTTTGGCAAGCCATTTTGACATTTATTCATTCCCAGGATATGAATTCTTGATATCAACAAAATTATTTTCACATAAAATGCTAATTCTTGACATCAGAATTAGATTTCTAGCAACAATGGCAATTTTTATATCATGAATTACATTTCCATTAGTAAAAATGTTAATTCTAAAAATGTTAAAAATGAACATTCTCATTCACGGTTCCATGCTGGTGGAATGATCTCCCCACCCTCATCCGGAATGCAGAATCCCTGACAGCATTCAAAAGACAACTGAAAACTCATCTCTTCCGGGAGCACTTAACATAACTTAAAAAAAAAAAAAAAAAAAAAAAAATTCCTTTCCTCTAAATCCTCGCTTGTCTGGCTTATGCTACTCTGAGCTATGTCTGAACTTTGTATTTTGAGCACTTCTTGCGTTGTTTTTGCCTCTTCACGATGACTCGCTTGGTTTAGTCCTCAGTTGTAAGTCGCTTTGGATAAAAGCGTCTGCTAAATGACTAAATGTAAATGTAAATTCTTATCACACTCAGGAATACGAAATCAATATCAAGAATTAAATTTCCACTAGTAAAAACTATAATTCTTGATATCTGTAATTGTATTCTTACTAGTAAAAATTATAATTTTTGATATCGGTAATTGCGTGGTTCCTAGTGCAAATGTCTGTTCTTGATATCAACAATTTAATTTTTACTAGTAGGAATTGTATTTCTGATATGTGAAATTGTGAAAAATTGGAATTCAACTAGCCTAAATCAATTCTTGATAACAACTGAATTTGAATGGCAGAGAATGGTGACATTGAACAAGTGAAAATATAATTACAGATATCAAGAATGAAAGTTTTTACTAATTGAAATTTAATTTTTGATATCAAGAATTCGTATTTCTGCTAGTGATATTGCGTAATGTTGACATTAAGAATTCACATTTTTAGCCTAGTGGAAAAGTAATTCCTGATATAAAACAAATGCCATTGTTACAAGTAGAAATCTAATTCCTGATATAAAGAATTAGCATTTTAACTTGTGAACACTGAATTGTTGATATCAAAAATTCACATCCTGCGAATGATTAAAAGTCAAAACAGCTTGCCATATCAAGACTGAATTACTGCAACATCCATCGACGCGGACTCCTCACAGCACAAATGAATCAGAAACACAGCTCATACTCCGTAAATCATGGCCAAAATGCTATTGTTTCTGCACATAACATCATAAGGAGCATGTGCCCGCCTCATACCCAGAGAATATGAAGATACGTCGCCGTTTCAGCGTCATTGAGATGCCACATAAATGTGCACGCGCTTAAAAACTGCACTCACTCACAACGACAAAATAACACGTGGCGATGAGCATCAGCACATTGTGGATTTCGTCTTTTTAGTGCAGGTATTATAAAACTGACTAAAATCGAAACGTGTATCATTTTAAAACCGACCGACGATCAGCTTTTAAAATGAAGTGCTTACCGAAGCCAGTTTGGCGTCGCTCAACCAAATGAATATCTGTCGTTGTTTTGATCAGACATTTACAGACCAAATGTTAGGACATGTCTTTCATGAACCACAGATGCTGAGGAACGTGGATGTAGCTTATACACACACACACACCCTCAGCATCCCGGGACAGTGAAGCGCTTATGACTTTTTTTTTAAAGAGACAGTCAAAATCACAGCAACGAAGGCTAGCAAATAAAAAATTCTTAAGATTCTTCCTTAACTTAAAAATCATTTTTTCCTCTGTGATAAGAGCTCTTCCCTGCTGAAGTCAACAAACTTAAAATATAATACTATAGTCTTATCTTTATCGATCAAATAGCATTAATGTCTAAGCTGCATAACTGTATTGTGTACAACATACATCATATACAATATAGTGCATACTTTATAAAGTTTCAGTATGCAATATTAAACATAATATAATTGGGGCTGTCCAAAATTGCCCCCTATACCCAGTGCACTATTTCAGAGGGCAGCCATTTATAGTGGTGTCCGAAAATATAGTGGATAGTACGGTAGCCAAGAGAGCTCAACGTGCTGCAACTTAAGAAAACACATGTAAATAGAAAAAACAACCGCAAATCTTCATATTTGGTTGTGTTGTGAACATTTGCAGCGCGTTTCTGTATTTAGTTGTGTTGTGAGTATTTGGAGCACACACGTGTCGTGAAACTGATGAAGATGTTTTCTTCATTTGCGGGTGTTTTTCTATTTGCATGCGTTTTCTTCACTTGCAGCGCGTTGAACTCTCTCGGCCACCGTAGGATAGCCTATTATCGAATACATCTTTTCAAATCCATAATGCACCACAATAGCAAGAGTAGCCTATTGATGTACACTATCAGCTAGTCGCTAAAGAATATCCTTCAGTGGAAGCATCGGGCCAAATTAATTTCAGTGTCTTGGCAGAAGATGGTGTCTGCAGCACTTCTGGCGCACTCAGTATCAAATTCACTCACTCGTTTACATTCACTCATTCAGTGTACTATTAGTGAGGTAATAAGGGGAATAGTGAATGAGGCTACATCCAGGAACTTATTCAGGGTAAAACCCACATTAAAATTTTCTCTGAGATAGATGTACAGTCCAAAGAGCAAAACTAAGTTCTGTAAATAGTTTTTCATAGATCATCAAAGAATCTGGATATGTTAAGAACTGTAAAATCATGACAATTTACTTTGCATATACAAATTTTTTTAAAGACTCCATGAAATCAGTCGACGAGCAGTTGTCTTATTGGAACAGAAAGGTTGAGTGGGACATAGGCTACAGAAAGTATTGACAATTGACTTTAGCTACAGTATATCACAGCCGAACCATGAACCATGGCTGTATCTGAAATCGCCCTTATTCAATATTCCCTCCTTTAGTTCACTAATATCGGCATCTCTCTGCTAAGATGCAGGATTGGGATGACCCTCACAGTGTAGGGCATTCTGCTAGCCGGTGAGTGTATTGGTTGTACACTTGTTATTGCAGTGCATTATGGGATTACTTGAGTGCTTACGATTATGGCCCTGTCCCAAATGGGACACTTTTATATGCAGTTTCGGTCTTGTGTACTTACTATGGCTTGTGCGTGTCCGTTAAGTCCATGTCCCATGTCCCACTTTTACTGAACTGACGCAAACATTACATTTGTTGACCCTTGCCGTAAATCACTGCCGTAAGCCTTAAAGGCACCGTAACCTGTCACTCGCAGTGCATAACCATACAGAATCCAACAGGAAACAATACTGAACGTTTTCAGACATAAGACGCAGTGTTTAGGGTGCCATTTGGGATAGGGCCTATGTCCCACCTTATTCAGAGCAGCGCCATGACAGGTGTGAAAGCGAGGCTGTGAGGGATAGACTTACCGTGTTTTCAATTGCATCCGCTGTAAAAATCCTAGTTCACTCACAATTTTATTTTTTGTCTACTGAAATTTCTTGGAAAGATATGTTTGCAGTGTTTTGTCAGCAGAACAATCCAAAAACACATTAAGCAACAGTACAACCCACGAGATGTTAATGTTCACAGCCTCGCTTTCATTCCCGTTAAAAACCAAGGATGGCGCTGCTGTGAATAAGGTCTATGGTTTCAGACACCATTACAAATGGCTGTTAACGAGAGAATTTGACTGGACAAAATGAGCGTAGTGCAGAATGAGTCATCAACATTTTGTTCCTTTTCTAGTAGCGAGAGACTGTAAACTTTAAATATATCGGCTAACTGTTAATTTTGTCAACGTTTATGAGTAAACTAGCATAGATGGCCTCAAAGCGAACGTACGGGCTAAACATAGGCTTTTATTTTGAAATGTCTTGAAGTCTTCGTGCAGTGCGTTCAGCTTCACTCCCTCGTTCCCCTCAGCGACACTGACATCATGGCGGACGCCGATTCTTGGGGTGAGAAATTGTGTAAACTTCACCGTTATTTTTCATTTCTGTCCGTACGAATTCTTATTAATATGTTTTCTCTAATAAATTGTCGCCTTAAAGCACGGCTGTCACAAAGTAATATGTCTAAACGCTGTTATTTTCTAGATGCCGATAGTTTCGAGCCCGAGGCTCCCATCAAAAACGCGGCAGTTCTTGACAAATGGGAGGGCGAGGATGAAGACGACGACGTGAAAGTTAGTAACGGATGCATTGTTTGTCGTTCACTAATCAAAAATGTGTATTTATTTCTCTAACAATGAAAAAGTATCAATCTATCAAGAAGTTACAGTCAGCTAACTCTAGCTAGCTACTCTTGCTAACTCAACAGTGTCAAAACAGCGTGGTGATGGTGAGTCTAAATATGTGTCCAGTTAGTATTAGCAGCATATGCGTTCACCTGCTTAAAGACATTGTCCTATTTAGAAAGTAAAATTATCGTAAATATAATTATTAATTCCATGCTAAAGGTATGTCTTTGCTTACAGTTAGTAATTAATTTACTGTACTAGCTGCTAAGCCTTTTCACAGCAGAACATCTATGTCATCTGTTGCTTATGTCAAATGATCATGTCAGTAGTCAGCCTTCATAAGAGGATAGGTTGATCTTATTAATGTGGAAGGAAAGATCTCCAGCTAGTCATCATTGTATGTTACCTACCACCATGAACCCTTTTAATTTGTGGATTGAAATGCATTTTTATCTCATGTAGGATAATTGGGATGATGATGAAGAGGAAGAAAAGGAGGAAAAAAAGTCAGGTACGGTTATATGAAATTAATAAATTGGTATTTAACGAACTGTCAACGTTCAGGACAAAATATTTAAGCCTATGTATCTTTACCTTTTGTAATTTATTATAGCAGTAACTTGTATAGTTATGCGTGTGACAGATTCATTCTCTTGTTCATAGTCAATTAATCTGGTGCTATCAAAACTACATACATAATTATAAGAGAATTACAAAAATGTTTAAAACTGCTTGAAAATTATGCACATATTTACATGCACATTTTTCAAAGCATTTATAAGGCTTCAACTGTACTTCAAGTTGGAAAGTTAAAGTTTGAGTTTCAATTGTGTATTTTTCATATATAGAGGCTGAGGCTAAACCTACAGAAAAGAAGAAACTCAGTGAAAAGATAAAAGAAAAGGAAAATTTAGAAAGAAAAAAACAAGAGGAGCTCAAAAAACAAGTAAGTTCATACATGGCAGTTTTTCATTTGTCAAATGTTTTCAGTAAAAAGTTATGAATAACATTTTTTGAACTAGTTTAATATTCAATTTACATTGTGACACTTTGACAGCTTTTTTTATTTACAGCATTTTGATACTGTCCCATTTAAAAAAATTCTTATATACATATGCTACTGTTAAAAGTTTGAGGTAAGTATAAATAATAATAGTATATGTTAATGCATTTAATCATCAAGTGAAAAAGACATTTATTAAGTTTCATAATATTCCTATTTCAAATAAGATCTGTTCTTTTGAACTTTCTATTAAAAAATCTTGAAAAAAAATACATCATGGTTTCCACAAAAATTTTAAGCAGCACAACCGTTTTCAACATTGATAATAATAAGAAATGTTTCTAGCATTAAATCATCATATTAGAATGATTTCTGAAGAATCATGTGACACTGGAGTATGCTGAATAAATGTAATAAAATAGAAAACACTTGTTTTAGATTGAAATAATATTTGACAATATTACTGTTTTTACTTTACTTTTATCTAATAACTATAAACATTAAAAAAATCGTAATGACCCCAAACTTTTTTAATAGTAGTGTAAATAAATAAATATAATGTTAAATCGTACCTTTGTTAATAGCAAAATCTGATAGAAGGATATATAAAGACTTTCACTAAGCTTAACTGTAATTTTTTTAACAGTTAGAGTCATCAAAAGACAGCACAGAACTCACACCAGAAGAGGAGCAGGCAGAAAAGCTTAGAGTGAAAAAACTACAGGAGGATTCAGACTTAGAACTAGCAAAAGAGGCGTTTGGTAAGTGCTTTCAGTATATCCATATCCACACTTTTACATTTTGAAATTTTTAACTTTTAATCTCTTTTGTAGGTGTAGTATCAAATAATGTTACAGGAATTGATGCGATGAGTCCCTCTTCGAAAGAAGACTTCACAGAGTTTGAGCGGTTGCTAAAAGAAAAAATATCTCCCTATGAGAAGTCTATACACTATTCCAGCTTTTTAGAGACGCTGTTTAGGGACCTGTGTCTTTCATGTAAGTATGCCCCATTTTTGTTCGTTCTTCATTTATTCTCAATGTTAATCACGTATGATTCCAATCGGTTTTGCAGTGGAAGTTGAAGACTTGAAGAAAATTAGCAACTCACTGACAGTGTTACTAAGTGAAAAGCAGAAGCAAGAAAAGGTATGAAATCCATTTAATTCCAAACATTAACTAACTGTTTATATATATATATATATATATATATATATATATACATATACATACACACACACTTGCTGTCAAACGGAAACCTTGTATATCCAAATTTGCTACTTTTCAGGAAATGGAAAAAACACTGTATTTTTTTAGAAAGAAATATTAAACATGGTGTTGTCAAAGTTGATATTGTGGCTTTGTATGTCGTCAGACAATTGCATCTTTATAGTATTTATGTTTTTACCAAAATCAAGCTCAAATGGAGTTAGAAGGTTTTTGAGCAGCAAATATTGGACATGTGTTTTGTCCGTCATTAGAACGGCATCTGAAGCAGTAAGTGCATCGTATCTACTTACAGGTTATGAAGTTTATTGTAGCTGTAGCTATGTGAGCAATTTGGCCAAAATCTCATGTTATTAAAGATAAAGTTTATATATATATATATATACTGGGCCTAAAACTAACTTTTTTCCACACCTGCCAATGGCCGGTGAAAATTTACCGGCCATAAATATTTCTTACCAGCCGTGAAAAATAGATGAATCCTTTTTAAAGTTACACAAGTTTTTTTTTTAGGGAATCGAGTGATTGTTTTTTGTCTTGTTTGATTAACATTTAAAAACACAATACATTAATATCATTCTTTTTTTTAGTCATAAACATATATGTATTTTTTTTATTCAATAGGCAAACAAAGGTAAAAAGAAAAAGAAGGGAGTTATACCAGGAGGAGGTTTTAAAGCCAAGCTGAAAGATGATCTGGCAGACTACGGGGAGTTTGATGGCGGTTATGCACAAGACTACGAGGATTTCATGTGACCAAGGCTTAACCCATTGATAACTTTTGCTGGTTGCTGAACCATACACCTTAACAGCATGACCTTACCCCACAGTCAGGCCCACTCACCAGAATCATGCTAGAAAACTCTGAACGCCATCCCACGCAATGCACACTCTCCCCTCAAAGAGGTTTATGCAGAGAATGAATTAACTGAGGGATTTTCTCTGTTGTGAATTTAGGTCAATGTTTGTCGGAATAAAAAACCGATAAAACGGGCTCTTCCTTGCAAATGTGATCAATTAATCGTGACAGTCCAGGATTATATGAACAGAGTGTTATTGTTCGGTAACTTCTACTTGGAAATAAATGACATTCTATGCAAATTTCTTTCCGTATTGATCTCCATGTGGTTCGATACGCTTCGGGCGTTTTCCTTGTTGAATGGGATGTTCCTTTTGCAAACCAGGCCGACTAAGACATCCTGTACAACCTGAAGTGATGATATCGAAGTAGTCACATGGTTCATAAATCATGTCTACAATCAAACGATTCATTTTTTGTTTTTGTTCATAGACGATAGTGAGCTCAATTGTTTAGATAAGTAAATCTAGAGTGTAGCATACCTAATGTAAGCATAACACATCGAAAATAACGCCTTTTCGTTTGTAGCTCGTATTGCATTCCATGTAAAGTCTAAGACCAAAAGTATCACTCTAAATGAACCGTTTTGAAGATGCATTGCAGCATTATTAGGATTACCTCAATTTTTGCAGAGAAAAATATGTGAATAATTACAAATATAACTGGTGTTTTCATTGCAGCACGTTATGCAGTTGCTCATTTGACCTCAACCATGCCAGCAGAGAATGAGCGTGACTCTTCTGCTGATGACGAATAAGAGACTGAAAGTTGACGTAGGGTCTTTTCAGCCGTCGTTTGGCTTTCCATTTTCTTGACAACTTTAAGTGTGGTAGACATGCTCTAAAGAGACTTACGATCAGCAAAGCCGATAATAGGACTCTGCACTGTTTTATAAAGATCTAATTTAATAAAAGTTGCTTATAATTCATCAGTTTTTCTGTCTTTTTTTGCTTTATTGTGTCTGTATATCTGTAACCATTGCATTCTTTGCTGAGGGATGAAACCATTATTTGGTAATTTACAGAATCCTGTTGATCAGGGTTCAAGCATGAAATGAAAATCCACCGTATAGATCCTAATGTAAATGATTTATCCTGTACATTGAATTTGTAAAAACGTATGTCTTACCAAGTTATGTTCCAACTTTGAAGTGTCACGAAAATTGAGGTTCCTTTTAGATTTTGTTTAGGCACTAAACCAAAACGCTATGACATTCAAATTATGATTACCTAATTTATGAGATGGTCCTCACTGCAGAACATGAAATCCACGGGGAGGAGTCGGATCCAGATCCAACTCCTCCCACCTTACATATACCTAAACCTACCCATCTCCGCCCCCTAATCCCTAAACCCACCCCTAACCCTACCCATCTCCGCCCCCTAATCCCTAAACCCACCCCTAATCCTACCCATCTCCACCCCTTGGATCTTGATCCGACTCCTCCCCTTGGATCTCATGCACTGCATTGAGGTGCTACTGTAATTTATGATGATTTCTAAAATAAGTAAGTGTCCTGCTAGCTCTAACAGGTTAAAGGGTTAGTTCACCCAAAATTTAAATTGCCATAATTTACTCACCCTGTCGTTTCAATCTTGTAAGTCTTCGTAACACAAATGAAGATCTTTTTGATGAAATCTGAGATTTCTGTCCCTCCATTAAAGGGATACTCCACCCAAAAATGAAAATTCTGTCATCATTTACTCACCCTCAAGTTGTTGCAAACCTGTATGAGTTTCTTTCTTCTGCTGAACACAAAGGAAGATATTTTGAAGAACGATTGGAACTTTGGCACCATTGACTTCCATAGTATATTTTTTTCTACCATGGAAGTCAATGGTGCCAAACAACTGTTTGGTTCCAATCGTTCTTCAAAATATCTTCCTTTGTGTTCAGCAGAAGAAAGAAACTCACACAGGTTTGCAACAACTTGAGAGTGAGTAAATGATGACAGAATTTTCATTTTTGGGTGGAGTATCCCTTTAAGGATTAGTTGCGTAGCTGTCATTGGACAGACAGAAATCTCTCAGATTTCATTAAAAAGATCTTCATTATTCATTTGGATCAACATCAGGGTGAGTAATGAATGACAGAATTTTCATTTTGGGGAGAATTATCCATTTAAGAGATATATTGTCCTTGACACACAGGCATGAGGATCTACAGTAGTTCTCTATCATATCATTTCATTTAATATTTTATGAAAGTGAGAGTGTTTCTTTTAAGTTTCTTAAGAAAGTTTTCTTTTAATATTAATAATCAGTGAAGCAATTTTGTTCAAATATTTTTTCTCTCTAAGAAATAGTAATCAAATGTCTACTCTTGAGTCTTTTCAAGAATTTCATCTTTTTAATAAAGGCATTTGTCTTCATTACGATATCGGGACATTTTTTACTTTACACCCCCAAGATACATCAAAATGAATTTTTGTAGAGAAATTAAAAACACACTCAGTCATCTATGATGGGCATATGAGTTGCATTTTATGAATTTTGAATAAATAACAGTTCAAGAAAAAAATTTTCAAATTCTATTTGAATTTATCACTAATACGTCATTCACAATAATACTAGAAATTCATCTTTCAATAATCTTTTATTGTACTTCGCATTCATTTAACAAGAACTATTATTTTAATAATGTTAAAACAACATTAAAATTGCATTTATACAACATTTTATTTATTCAAGCATTTTCACTCATTTTATCATCTAATACTTTATTAGCTACAGTAGACGTTCATTAAGGATAAAGCGGTCAAGGGTGTGAACTTTGAGACTGTTTGAAGAACCGTTCTGAAAACTATAAGCCAGACGGAAAGCAGATTTTATTGCGTTGCAGGTTATGAAAACGGTGCACACAGGTCTTCTCAGATAACCTGCCAATGTCCCAATCTTGTCCTTGTTGCTCGTGGCCGATTATCTTGATCACACCATGAATTGCACCCTCCGCTATTGGTCATGTGACCTGCGCACAAAGGGTCCAGTCTTTTCCCCTTATTCCGACTTATTGGTTTTCAGACAAAAGGAAAACAACAGAGTGATTGTAAAGATAAGACTTGGGGATAATTAACAGCAAATCCAGACTTAAAAAAAGCAATTCCCCATCATCCATTGGTTGTGAAGAAGGGAGGAGGTTTGTTGATGTGAGGTTGAATCAAGTGTGTGTGGTCGTAAAATGTGGTCTTGGTTGTGAGGACCGTTATATAAAAGGGGCGTACAGTTCAAGCCGACCCATCTCGAAACGTGAAGTCCAACCATGAGTCCATGCGTCTTCTCGGTCTTGGTCGTTTTGTGGCTGGTAATGGCCGTGGAAATGGCCGCCTCGGAGGGCCAGCAGATCCTCCAAGCCTTGCACTGTCCGCCCTGCGAACGCATTCATTGTTCCCCTCGTAGAGCGCTGAAGCTCCAGTGTCAGGGTGGTACAACCACTGGGATTTGCGGTTGTTGTCCAGCCTGTGCCAAACTCGCAGGAGAAAGCTGTGGAGGCACCTGGGACTACCTGGGGAAGTGCGACGAAGGGCTGGTTTGCGTTTACCAAGAAGCTACAGATGGAAAACCAGAGGCGGAACGCAAGGGAACCTGCAAATCAGGTACCGCCGAAGCTGGAGATGCCAAGTTACCCTGTCAGCATGTTGCATGGAGTCCTTAAGGTCTAAATTAAAGTGCAAAGTTGGTTCTTGAATTCAGGTTTCTCATGGTCATGGACAATATCAGGTAATGCCAGGCCTGACAAGTCATGGAAATGAATATATGCGAGGACAAATCATTTCTATAGTTAATTTAAAATAATTTATTTTTATATGATTTAAATGCGTTCACTCATGAACGAGTGGGACATTCATGGTTATATGAATTATACAAAAGCAAATATGAAGAGTCAACAGGGGTTTTCATACTGGAATCCAGGAACCCACCGGAGAGCCACAAAAGGGTTTCTAGGGGGTTTGCAGAAATTTTTATAGAAAAAATAATAGTAATGTTAAACTAACTTTTTATTAAAATTATTGTATTTTATTCTATTGATATTCATAGTTTCACACAAACACACACATTATATATATAGATAGAGATAAATCTCACTGATATTCTATTAATTTGTCATTTTTATTTATTTTTGAATATATTTATACAGTTTTTATTAAGTTTTAATTATTTTAGTACTGAAGCTAAAATAAAACGTTGCATGCATCTATCAATCTATCTGACATGATATAATAAAATGTATAAAAATGAATTAAAAAATACATTTAATTGACAATATTTCTATTTTGCTATACGTCTACATAGTTTCATATTTTATTAATTTCTTTTGGTTGCAATATAACAATATGAAAACCAATATATAAATGTATCTCACTGATATAATATTACAATTTGTGTTATTTTAAATTAGATTGATTTTAATATATATATATATTTATATAGTTCTTAAGTTTTAGTTTAAATTATTTTCGTACTTCAACTTAAGCTAACATAAAATGTTATATATATTTTTTAAATATATAAAAATAAAATATTTAAATGTTGCTATACATCTACAGTTTAATATTTTATTAATTTCTTTTGGTCGTAATAACAATATAAAAGCCAGTCATTTAATTTTGAAAACATTTTGTCTTTATAATACCATACTTAAATTCTTTCTCACGTAGTATAATTTTGCTCATACAGTATAAACTGAACTTTATGCATTAAAATATTTGGCTGCCTTTATATTTCCCTATAGCGATCATCATATTTGGGGGATCTTGCCATCTAAAAGTATGAAAACCCCTGTGCTACAATCCCATCATGCACAGTGTGCACCTGCTTATGTTTTAACTTTAAGTTCAGGTCCACACTCTTGAAAAAAAGAAAAGAAAAAGGCATCATCAAGGTTAATGTAATTTATAAACTGTGAAGAGAGATATGGCAGTCTAGGATTCCTTTGATCTCGGAGCACTTCCCCATAAAAGCAAAGCTCTTATTGTTCTTATCTATACAGTGATGAAATCCACAACCCTTCCTGAAGAACTGCATCCGTATTGTAACGGGATTCCATCAATTTTATTGTCTGTTTTTTTCTTTGACCTGCAGAACAATATTTCACAATATTGCCAGGCCAAAAAAAAAAAAAAGAGTTGCCGTTCAGATTTAATCAGGCAAATGCTTAAGAGTCTATGATTGGATCATTATTGCAGGGATTATTGTGTTTCTAGCATGTTATATTTTTGGCAACCGTTCTAACCCTAATTGATGGAGTGTGTAGCTTTTCATTTCTTAAACAACCTAGACACATCATGACCATGTTGATATGACCGGATGTTAAGATTCATCAGGCTCAAATTGTGAAAGAATGGTTGGGAGGGAGCATGAAGAATCATTTTCACTCATGAATTGGCACCTCTGAGTCCAGACCTTAAATCCAGTGAAAGTCTTTGGGATGTGCTGGAGGAGACTTTACAGAGTGCTGGACTCTTGCATTGACAACACAAGACACCAAAGATTTATTTCCATCAAGAGGTGCCACGTATTGCTCATTTTCAATGCATTTTGGATTTGTATTTCCCAACAGTGCTTGAGGTTCTTAAAGCCGACACTTGCAGACCTGAGTGCACATGGGAGTTCTGCAAGGCCAATCCCAATGAAATCTGCTCAGCGAGGTGACTTCTGCTTCGACTTTTCTACATGTAGTCTTGATATTTGATTCGTCTTAAATGAGTTCAGGCTTCATTTCAGTCCAGTGGGTTAAGCCTAGTTCACACTACATGATTTTAAGCCCGATTTAAGCCCAATTTGCAAATCGTTGAGCTCGCCGACAGGTCAGGCTGTTATCGCGGGGGATTAGCGGGCGATGAACGCTCGCCAATCTGTTAGTATGAAAGAGCCAACAACGCTTCAAAGACGCTCGCAGGCGCCTCACCGAGCCCAGAAAAATATCTAGCATGCTAGATATCCAGAGCTGTCGCACGACTCAAGCTCACGTGATGTCATGAGCTACAGCCAATCAGAGCAAGGCATGTTCGCGTGTTGTGTTTTTTTCCGCACATGCAGGACAGTACAGTACAAATCGTGACAGTAAAGTTCGGATCGAGTAGTGACAGTGAAGTTGTCGTAAATTGATGATGACAGGAAGTGGCAGAAAAACTTCGTTCTCGCACATGCGCAGTACAGATCGTGTAACCGGTACGGATCGAGTAGCGACACAAGTAGTCACAGTAAAGTTGTCGTAAAAACATTGATGATAACAGGAAGTGGCAGAAAAACTTCGTCCTCGCACATGCGCAGTACAGATCGTGTAACCGGTATGGATCGAGTAGCGACAGTCAGTGTTCTTCGCTGGGTATTGGCGTGCGTGCTGTTTCGCGTCATTTCCGGTTCGTTTTATCGCGTGATTTTTCGTGACAAAACGTGGTTTGTAGACAAGATAGAATCGTTGGGTGACAGAGTTGTTGTCAACTCGTGTAGTGCGTTACCTCCTGTTGGGGATCAATCACGTTGTGTCGTGTGATGTGAACTAGCTCAACAACTTGAACACTCCTGATTTCACAGAGAGCAAGTCATGTAGTGTGAACCGCACAGTTCAGCCCGACGTTTTAAAATCATGTAGTGTGAACTAGGCTTTACTGGTATCAGGTGTCTCTCACTTGTGACTGTTAAATGTCCTATATCCCGTTGCAGGTCTGTATCGCTGGAGAAGCGTGAGTGTGGAGGTCACTGCCAGCACACAACCTGCTCCAGCTGCTTGGTTCTCAGACCTCCATCTTGTGCTCAGTCCTGTTCCCCAACAGACCACGTCTGCATGCATCGCTTTGGAAGGTGTGTGCATGGTCACCTGACCGAAGAAAAACATCCACCCGCCTGCCACCAAAACCTACAGGTCAGTTTTACTTCTGTGTTGCTCTTTATCATTCTTTTTTTTTTTGACAAAGATGAAATATAATTGTTTATTTCTATGATGATTACCATGTTGTTTATTTTAATTAAAACACAATGCTTTTATTGAACTATACTTTGGGGCCATAGTAAAGATACATACACTTTAATCTTATATTAAAGGGGTTAAATGTAGAATTCAGAAACCCTTGTTATATAGCGACACCAGTGGAAATAAAGTGAACTGCAGACAGCAACTCACTGCTCGTGCTCGCACTCGTAACACACAAGAGACTGAACGTGACTCAAGGCCCTGATACTCACGGCAAAGTTCTTTTACGTTCTTCGCTAAGGGGTAAAAAGACGTTTGTTGTTGTGACTTTTATTTTGACGCGCGGCGGACATTTCTGGAGTAAATATATAGGCTATAATCTGTGTATACACGTTTTTTTTTTGTTGTTGTTGTTTTTTAAATGGCGGGTGCTGGTCTTTCGCGTGCGTTCGGCCAATCAGTGTACAGTTACGTCACGGATAGTTCCTATTGTGCTGGTTTAGACCCGACTCTGAAGTTGGAGCTCATTTAGTTCCCCAAAAAGAGTTCCTAGAACTAAAATCGTTCCCAGTTCCTGCACTGCGAACACGACAAAAAGTGGGCACTTCCACCATTAGTTCTAGGATGTATGAAAGGTTCCTCTGGTGCGAAAGCCCCTTATTAGTTTGAATTAATCGCTTTTCTTTGCACGACACATTGACATTACAGTACAGAAAGGCTCTTTCGGCATTATCCTGAACATTGTATAAGCCAGGGGTCTCAAACTCAACTTAACTGGGGGCCGCTGGAGGTAGAGTCGGGGTCAGGCTGGGCCGCATCAAGTATTCAACAACAAAAAAATAGTATTCAAGTATTCCAAAAAAGGAGCACAACTGATCCAATCTTCTCAATCTTTATTATTAACGTTTCTCCTGAACTGTTCCTCTGAATTTGAACATTCCTTTCTGTACATGATTGGTTCTTCATGAGCTGTCCTTCTGACAGCTGAAGTTCATTTTACAACCATTCTTTTTCTTTTCCTTATAACACATCTTTGTGATTCTTATATATTTGAAATACAAATATTTGCAGTCATGTCTGACCGTCTTATTGAATTCTTTCTACACATGTATAGTGTCTCAGGCAAATTACTGACTTTGCACAAATCAAAGCAAACCTTCTTATCAACCTGTTGGACACATATTACAAGCTCAAAATGATTATTCTCACGCAGGGGTCTCCAACACGTCGCTCGCGAGCTACCAGTAGCTCGTGGCCTGATTGGTGGTAGCTCGCCAAGGGGTCGTTCACATATCGCGCTCACATATTTTGCGCGCTCAAGTTCGTTATTTCAAATGTAGGCGCGCGGCAAGCTCGCTCATAATCGAAGCGACACGCTCATTTTTTCCAGGCGCAGTATGTTTGTACTTCGCGGTTGTCTATGACAACTATTGACAACAAACCATAGACAGTAAAAGAAATGGACACAGCAACCCCGTTGATTTCAACGGAGAGAGTTGAAGCCCAACATGGGCACTCACTTCCTGATAGCCAAGCGCACTGCGCAGGCTCAAACTGAGCTTGACGACGTAGTTGTCACGTGAGCAACCGTTCTGACCTTCTAGTAGCTGTGCCGGGACAAATCTGAATTGAAATCTGAAACAAATCTGTTGTTGAAATATTTTGTCCCGTTGCTTTTATGAACTCTCTATCTATGGGCTTCTCCCTTGACTTTATGCCTCCATGTCCACCCGATTGCCTCATAGACAGTAAACGATTGCCTACGAGCTTCTACTTCAGTCTATACGGTTATTTCTCTACTGTGCGACAGAGCGTCCCGTGGTTATGACGCAATCGTTAGCCTATTTTTACAAGAATGGCTTCTACGGGGCCGTAACGTAAGATACAAAGTAATGGAGCCTTTTATACATTGTCGTGTTTCTTTAGAAATAAATAATGGACAAATGGAGTCTTTGGACGCCTCAGATGTAAAGTTATTCGCTGTCAAAGTGACGCCAAAATGAATGGGAGTCAATGGGATGCTAACAGCAGGTGATAGCCAGCTACAATGGCGGCCCCCGGAGGCAGCTTCAACTTCCGGCTGATGGATTACCCCCTTGCAACAAACCCACCGTAAGCTGTCACGAGACTATCTATGGTAGCCCATAAGGGATAAAAAACAACAACAACAAAAAAAAAAACGCGGCACACGCAACGACGGGCCTCACTAACATGGGAGATTATCACGCTGATACGTAGTACTTCCGCATTCAGTGATCTTTGTGCACTGCCACTTCCGTTGAATCACCGATCACTCTGGCGAACTGATGACGGACTACACTAAGTTTATTTATACGGCATCCCAGGTAAATTAGTCTGATTCACTAAAGTGCCGGCTACAAACAAACGTGCTACCTTGTTTTATTTTAAAGTTTGGACCTTAATCCCGGCGAACCGCTTTAATACACTTCTTCCTTATACTCAATTCAGTCGGGAATCCATGAGAACTTAAGTAGGGTTAGCGTTGTTGGTTAGATTTACAAAGTGGAACAGAGCAGTGACATCTAGCCTTCGTTTCAGCCATTGTTGAACTGCGTCGGAAGTGGACATGCACAAAGTTGACAAATCCCGCCCATGAAACCCGGAAGCGTGATAATCCCCTATTAACCTTTAATGTCAAGTAGAGGGCCATAAAATATCACCCCGCAGGCCATTTGAGGTTTGAGACCACTGGTATAAGCATTCGTTTCATATGTCATAGAATGTAAAGAATGGTCTCAAGACAGGAGAGTAACGTCACATCCTTTTGATTTTCCCGGCAAAAACGTCCCGTGTCGTTCACATAAAAATCAGTCAACAGGTTTTTATAGACAACCTGGGAAGTCGGGGAAGGTCTCGTTTTCTTAAGTTTCGTTACAAGCTGTTCACACATTGGCAAAAAAATAATAATAAATTGATACAATTCTTATATATACCCCTTTTAAATAATAAATATGATAATTATGATATAATATGAAATAATAATATATTTATATATATATAACAACAAACACACACACACACACACACAACATTCTATTTTATTTATCATTTTATAATTATTTGTTGTTTTATTACAGTATATATATATATATATATATATATATATATATATATATATATATACTAGTGTATATATTTATTTTATTATAATATTTGTATGTAAATCATATATAATTACTTTGCTATTCTTTTAACAGAGTAAGTCTGAGGGATTCTTTGTGTGTTTGGCTCCTGCCTGTCCAACTGCAGAAAACTGATTCGACATTTCAAGAGGAACTCAAATAATGCAATCCAGTTATAAAATGTAGCACAAAAGGCAGCTATTTTTATTAATGCATTTCATTAGTATTTTTTTATATGTTATAATATAAATCAATAATAAAAATGTGTGATTAAATTTTTTTCGCATTAATGTTGTACAGCTCTTGTATATTGCTACAATAATATTTTTGTCAATAAAAAAAAGTGTTTTAAAAAAAAAAATTATGTATTCTAATATTTGTATGTGCAAATGGTTTCTGAATAAAACTGGCTTTTAATTTCACTTAAATGTTCACTTTCTTTCTTTTTTTTTTATAAAAGGGACTAATAAGGTCATGCTGACCCGTTTGGGAAAAGTGCCCACCGTAGACCCGTTCCCACCCCTGTCTGGCTTGTTACTCAATAACAATATATTTATGAGCGTGCAATTAGACATCCATCCATGAGCCAGAACAGATCAACCTCTTCACAATTCTTTTGATGTCTATCTTATATAAAGCTGCATCAAGAAAAGAAATGTTAATTGTTAAAGTGATAAACACATTGGCATTAAAATAAATACTGTTCATAGGTTTATAATATGCTTCAATGTTCTAAACCTGAAAAACAACACGTGACATAAGTATGTATTTTAATGAATAAACAGTATTTTATTATATCAACAGTAATTTAAATATATACATTTAACTAATTTTATGCATGAAAGTAAGTACCACTTAAAAAAAAAAAATGTAATAAAAATTTCGAATCTACGGTGCACACAAATGTACGGAAGGAAGCCCTGAACCGCAAAGTAAAAAATCTAGCATTTCGAGATTATAGCCGAAATATTTCGAGATTATATGCCGAAATATTTCGAGATTATAGCCGAAATATTTCGAGATTATAGCCGAAATATTTCGAGATTATAGCCGAAATATTTCGAGATTATAGGCCGAAATATTTCGAGATTATAGCCGAAATATTTCGAGATTATAGGCCGAAATATTTCGAGATTATATGCCGAAATATTTCGAGATTATATGCCGAAATATTTCGAGATTATATGCCGAAATATTTCGAGATTATATGCCGAAATATTTCGAGATTATAGCCGAAATATTCAGAGATTATAGCCGAAATATTCCGAGATTATAGCCGAAATATTTCGAGATTATAGTCGAAATATTCCGAGATTATATGCCGAAATATTTCGAGATTATATGCCGAAATATTTCAAGATTATAGTCGAAATATTTCGAGAATAAAGTCGTAATATTTCGAGAATAAAGTCGTAATATTTCGAGAATAAAGTCAAAATTACGAGAATACAGTCGTCCTTAGAAGTTCTTATTTATTTATTTGTAAAGAAATGCGCTCGAAGTTGAACTGCTTCTGACATGGGCTTTCAACAAAAAGAAATTCTACAGGTGCTAATGATTTTTTTTTTTACGTTGTGGTTCAGGGCTTCCGTACAAATGAGTCTCCGCTCCTCAAGATGAAAAACATGCCGCTTTTGTTATCACTCAAATTTTACTGCATTTGTTTTTGACTGATAAAAACAAGCCAGACAAAACGTTCAGTGTGCCAAGAGCCATAAACTACAACAACAGCCAGTTTACTAATGCATTTCACTCCGTCCCTTACGAAACACACTGTAATCCCATTGCATTTATTTAATTTAAATAATTTCACAATTCAGATTCTCTGAATTATTCAAGTTGGAGACATTTATGCAATATCAAGACTAATTTTCATTACAGTTTTAATGATACTGACCAACATAACGGGGTTTCTGCATAGTTGACTTGATCTAGACATAGTACAATAGCCTAGCAACATGAAAACTTATATATTTGCCTCAAAACTCAAAAATATTTATCTATTATAAAAAAAAGCACAGATCTCCCTACATGATTATTTTTATTAATATAAGCAACAGTTTTGCCAATGTCTAGTTTGAAAAGGCAGCGCTTTCGTCTTGATCATTTGGTTGTAACTAGTGTAGCGAACCCTTTCAAAAAGTAAAAACAGGCTACATGCTAACATGTAAGATTCTCGGTGGCTAACATTAGTGCTCATTCTGCAGGTTTACTTCTGACAGATGCACAGTGTTTATGTAAATCTACGTAAAGTAAAGAAAATGAAGGATAGCGTGTAAAAATCAAGTGATACGTGGAGGAATGTCGTGTTGAGCGGATAAAATAGTTCCTGAGTCTTTTTTCCCCTCTTTCATGAGTCTTTGTGAGTAAAAGGCACTTTGGACGAGAGCGTTTATGTGATGCGAGCAGTCTGGGTTACCGGAACATTCTGTGCCAGTAGGACTGAAAAGCGGACGAGTTGAAGGCACCGATGAATACGAGAAGCAGGATATAGAGGCCCATCATGATGGCAAAATGATGTCTGACGAGCCACGACCTCCCTTGAGCATGTCTGGAATCAGAGCAGAACATCATTTTAAGGAGCAAGTTCATTTAACCAGTAGAAAACAATACAAATTCTTAAGTCTTTAAAGATTCAAAATGATACTAAGCATCATAAGTATCCTAAAAGTGGTCCATATGACTAACTCGCTATATTCCAACTCATCATACTAGGGCTGGGTTAAAAATACTGATTCTAGATTTTAATTGAATCTCATTTTGGCCCTGTTTACACCTGGTATTAAGATGTGTTTTGTTCGATCGGATCAAAAGTAGACGAGGGAGACGCACGTTTACACCTGGTGTTTTAATCCGTCTCTTTTGTCCACTTTCAACCACTTCTGTCCTGATTTCTTCGAGGGGGAGGGACTATGGACTGTTAAATGAATGGGCTTTTTCAGATCTGTCTATCTAATGGATGAAATAAGCTCACGCAATTTACATATATGAATGCCCCCGGAGACGACGGAAAAACATACGAAGAGCAGGAGCTTTCGTTTCTGCTCTGACAGTCGTAAGATGACACAGAACACTGTGAGTGTGTGTTAGAAATCAGGAATGGTGAGAGAACATTGTGCTTGGTACGTTTTTCATCTTCAAACCAAACTTTGGTCTTCAGCTGACAAAGTTTAAATCCTGTCTGGCTAGTGCGCTTCTCATGTCTACACGTTAGGTCAGTAGGTGGAGAGTACATTGTTTTTTTTTGTGGCAGTTTGAACGCATTTGAACACCTGAGCGTTTACACTATGAAATCCACCATGAAAACTATGAAATCCGGTCGAATGCGTTTTCAACTACCTCTGGAAGGGGTTTAAAGTGGACAAGCTCAAAACGTTTTAGACCCCATTTACAACTGTATTTAGTGTCGTCCACTTGTGATCGAATTGACGAAAACGCATCTAAATACTTAATTAGAAGAACCGATATCGATTTTTAAATCCCAAGAATCAATCTTTAAACTTTGTATCTTGCCTCCCATCCAATGAATCTCAGTAATCTTTGTGCATTGTTACTCCTGACATGCAACAAAGTCTCAGCTTCTAAATTCGATAAAGCGAAGCGCACGTGAACTGATCATTTCTTCCGCTTTACTACAAGTTCCATGAATGAACATCAGAAGGTATGTTAAAAGAACAACTTACTGAAATCCATATAACGTCACATGTAATCGCTCATTTAGTGTTTCAACCGCAGAAAGACGAAAATAAAACAGCTTGTAAACAATGTAACGTAATGTTGCATTTACCTCGGAAAAGCCATTTAATGGCCACAACTCGATAGTCAGCTAGAAAAAAATAACTATACATAGGAGTGTTTCGCTAAATATATGCACCATATTGCATATTCATTGTACTTTTATTTAACCTGCTCTTCAAGATTTAATGTATGTTTGAATAAATATGTCATGATTTCATGACAGCCACCATTTAAGTGTTTATATTTCACAAAAAATGAGTAGAAACATAATTTTGTCATTAACAAGTTATTATAAACTTTTTTTTTTTATAAAAACTTCCTTCTGTGCAATTTAAATGCAAATAGCCTACAAATCAGTCAATTTTAACCTTTAATATTATAGTACTGCGCCAAATGGAGTTCCTATATAGTTTACAGCATTAGTTGAGAGATATTTTTATCCTGTAGAAACTTTTTTTTAGAAAAAAGTAGAAACTCCAATTTATAGATATCAAGTCGAATCGAAATTGAATCGAATTGAATCGTTTGTGTCAATACCCAGCCCTAAGTCATATGATAGCTTAGTTATTTAAGTTATTTAATAAAAATCTTGACAGTCAGATCTTTTGAATGAATTAGTTGATATAGTTTATATTACCAGTCTATGATTTGTTCACGATTGGCTGTGAAAAACGTCCTTTTTAAAGTTCTAGTCTCTAACTAGTCTGAAAAAAAAGTGTCAGGTACATTCCTCAATCAACACTTCTCCATTTGTGTTCCATAGAGGAACAAATTATGACTATGAACTATTTCTCTAAAGTGGATTTTTTTGAATTATGAAAGTCCTGCAAAGAAAGTCTTTATATAAAGCATGTCGTCTACTGAGATGCACCAATCGTGTCCATGTGAATGAGGACGTCTCACCGTGATCTGTAGCGTCTCTGAGAATACACCATCAGGTATTTCACTCTCAAAAGCTCGTTGTTGGTCACCACAAAGTACTTCTCGGGCACCTCGCCACCTTCACTGTTCCTGGCCCTCAGACGCTGGCGGTCAATGCTCTCGGAGTCTGAAACACAAAGGGAGAGCTGAATTCGAGATATCTGCTGGGATGGTAAGTGTCATAATGGATGGTCATTTTTACACAAAACTGGAATAAAAATCAAATCAGTGCTTTTATTTTGTTGACAAGAATGTTGCACATGCTGTATCGTGAATAAGTCACGGCTGAAGGGGTTGCACAACGCCCAGCACAGCCTCTCGTACCTTATTATATTGCTTACATAATAAGTAGGGGAGAGTGGGGTAAGATGTGCCAAACTACGTATAATTTTTCACATGACTATATATTTAAAACAGGGCCAATCAGACAGAGGTTATTAAGCGTTTCATTTTTAATTTAGGTAAAACAATAGCGTAACAGCAATAACATAAAACATAATTATTGACTTTCAGTATTGGCCTGAATTTTAATGTCATAAATATTAAAACTTTTTCTCACTGGTTTATGCAAATATGAACAATAATAAGAGAGGACTTTGTGATTTATACTCTTTTATATTTTTTTTGCCTACAGGACAACTTAAATAAGTGGCTCATCTTACCCCACACACCTCTATATACTGCAAAATACACAAGTACTCCATTACAAACACAATCATAGTATCCGTAGTCTTATTCGAACACGGGAATGTCTCACAGATCTGAAGAGTTTGATTAATGAAGATTGACAATGAACACATTAAATTGATAAATATCAAATCATGGTATCCACAAAAATATTAAGCAGCACAACTGTTTTCAACATTGATAATAATAACAAATGTTTCTTGAGCATCAAATCAGCATGCTAGAATGACTTCCAAAGGATCATGTGACACTGAAGACTGGAACAATGATGCTGAATAAATGAATATATATATTTTAAATTGAAATAATGTTTCCCAATATTACTGTTTTTCTTATATTGTTCTAATCAAATAGGCTACATGCAGCCTTGGTGAGCAGAAGACACTTCTTTCAAAACCATTAAACAATCTTAACGACCCCAAACTTTTGAACATTAATGTATTCAGCTGTTCATCTGACACATTACCTTTCCTCTTCACCTGACACTTCACATCAGGATGATCGATGATTTCACACAAGGCGACGCAGCTGATCAGAGGCCCGAGGACGCTTTCCCTCCACCCGTTCCCGTGAGGACTGTAAAGGATGGCCATGCTGAGGTCACTGGTCAGGTATGTGCCCTCCCCAAACAGTGAGGTCTGAAATATCAAATCATGATCAAAGATTAAACGGCTTACTGTGCTGAACCAATGAGCAGATAACATTGTAGTTATAATTATCATCTTCACACACATTATCTAAACATGAACTGATAAGGGACAGTCAAACACATCTGTCGCGTAATTATTTGTAGTCCTCTATGATAACCAAAGAATGATTGCCTGGAGAGCATCCAAAACGGGTATAAATGAGCATTATCCTCCAACGCACATCGTCCGCATGCTGACCTTGTTCAGGTGGCAGTGTAATCCGTTGTGTATGATGGAGTGGAAGTTCTCCAGTCTGCTGCCATGGAATGCATAGATGAGATCTCGTCCAGCCCGCGTCCTCTCAAACTTGGAGTTGAGCAAATCACAGTACTGCAGTTCAAAGAGGAAGTCTGGGGCTGGAGCTGAAATACCATCGCTTTGGGTCAGCTGGCTGAGTCTGGCAAACTGAAGGAGTGAGAATGAACACCAGTGAACATGCAGGGATGTGCAAAACTGAACGGACTAATCTGTGGGATGTCTCAATGACTAGTCCAGAATACCAGGGCCGAAAATTATGTTTGGTTCTGTTTTTATTTAACGATTTGTACATTATTCTGCTGATGCAAATTGAAAACCGAACTAAAATGACTCTTATGAATCTTATTAGTGAATCAAACAAGCAGAAAGCATGCAGTTTAACCAATGTAGTCTGAATCCTGAGCAATTGACTCTTACGAACCAATTCTTTTTACAGAATCATAAACATGCAGTGTGACTGTGACCAGTCAGTGCAGTCTGAACTAATGACTCTTATGAACCGATTATTTTTGTGGATCAGAAACATGGATTGGTTTTAGTGTTTTTTTCTTTCCTCAAATTAATAATTATTATGAGCTGGTTCTTTTTTTTTTTGTCATTTACAAACATATGGTGCGGCCAGTGTAGTCTGAACTAATGATTCTTATGAGCAGATTACTTTTAATGAATCAGAAACATAGAGCTCCATCACTGAACTAATGATTCTTATCAGCCGGTTCTTTTTAGTGAATCACAAAGATAAAAGTGACCGGTGTAGTCTAACCTAATGATTCTTATGAGCCGGTTCTTTTTAGTGAATCACAAAGATAAAAGTGACCGGTGTAGTCTAACCTAATGATTCTTATGAGCCGGTTCTTTTTAGTGATTCACAAAGATAAAAGTGACCGGTGTAGTCTAACTTAGTGATTCTTATGAGCCGGTTCTTTTTAGTGATTCACAAAGATAAAAGTGACCGGTGTAGTCTAACCTAATGATTCTTATGAGCCGGTTCTTTTTAGTGATTCACAAAGATAAAAGTGACCGGTGTAGTCTAACTTAGTGATTCTTATGAGCCGGTTCTTTTTAGTGATTCATAAAGATAAAAGTGAACGGTGTAGTCTAACCTAATGATTCTTATGAGCCGGTTCTTTTTAGTGAATCAGAAAATAGAGCTCCATCCACAAACAAATGATTCTTTTTAATGAATCACAAAGATAGAGTGCTTCTAGGATTGATTCATCCTGAACAAATGATTTTTAATGAGCCGGTTCTTTTTAGTGAATCCAACAACATGACCACTGCAGTCTGAACTAATGACTTATGAACCAGTTATTTTTGTTGTTGAAATAACTGTGTTATTACATTAAAAATTATTTTGTATCGTTTTGTTGCATCTGTTCAGTTGAAATCTGAACAAATACTCACTGCATTTCTTCTTTTTTTCCAAAACATTTCATTCTCAAAAGAATTAAGAGAACTCTTTATAGAATCATTAAGAGGAATCAGAATCAGATTCGTCTGCATAGTGCAAAGATCTAAATGAAGATTAGCAGTACCTCCTCTTTCTGCAGGGTCTTCACAGCAAAACTCTTAGAGGACAGAACCCAGTGCACTAGAGCCAGATGATGATCTCCATCACCATGTCCAAGACGCACCAGATCCCTCACGTTCGGTAAAGTATCCACATCTTTTTGCTGCGAGGAACATAGTAGAATCAAAATCATAAAATACGTTTGTTTGGGAAAGCCAACAAAACGGAGAGCTCAATTTCTTCAAACGTCTTACCAGATCTTCAAAGTCCTTGATCTCTCCTCGAAGGTAGCGAGGAGGGAAAGGTCTGAGCACCGAATCGCGTTTGTAGCTCTGGACGGCGGCCACGAAGAGACTGCAGCGCAGGTCCGCCGCTACTGGGTCTCGATGCAGACAGGAGCAAACCAGCTCTCTGACCGCAGCTGTGGGGAGAGGCGGCTGCATTCCCAACACTGCAACGAATTTATCATACCAATAAACTATAAGAAGAGAGATTCATTCATGCAAAACATTAACATTTTTAACAGAAGATCAACCGAACTTGCTTGACGCGCAAGGACAAACCTCTTGCTGAAGCTCAAAGGTGCTGCGTAACACGAGAATGAACGCCATTGGTTCTCGCGCATCAAGTGAACATGCATGAGATTCCATTTACCCCGACTTATGTGTGAGTTGATGAATGTTTATATGTGAATAGAAACCTAAATTCAATATGTTCATCATATAAAGCGACCGAGTCTATTTAGCAAATTTGAACTAAACCGCTTTTAAACCGTTTTACGATCTCTTTATGAACTTTTTAAAGCGTCAAAATGGCATAGCGGTCAATGGAGGGACAGACATTTCATCAAAAAGATTTGAGTTCCAAGTTCCAAAGATGAACAAAAGTCTTATGGGTTTGGAACAACAATTTGGAACAAGTCATTATATTAGTAAATTCACTGTAATAATTCAATAATAATAATAATAATAATTATACATTTCCTTTACATGTTTGTATAGTTACCACCTTGTGATAATTCTAAAAATGTAGTTTTAACTAAATGAAGAATGAAATTAATTAAAAGAATTAAATGAGTGCATAATTAAAACATATAATAACTTACTGATAGCTTAGCCAGCAGATTAGCTGCTAATAGTTAATAACAGCTAGTGAAAGCCAAACCATAATATAAACGTGTCTATCATTTGCTCTTGGACTTCTAATGCTCGAAAGTGTGTTAAGGTTTTAATGCAATAGTTCGTTTTATAGTCTCTGCTGACTTTGTTTACATGTTAAGCATGTTAGCCGGTTAGCTCAGCTTATCATCTCATTACTGGAGAAATTCACTCTCAAGCTTCAAGACCAAAACGATTACTCATCGAGTACTCATCACTCTACTTGTAAATACATAAAAATATGTATATCAAACATTTGCCATACACGTATGTAGGCTATCCTACCTTATGTGCCTGAAGTTCAGGCATCTGACAGACACCGGAAGCAAAACGTGTCCAAAAACTACTGGAGCCACAGCGACTGACTCCACCAGCAGAGGGCGCCATACACTGAGAGCCAATGGAAAACAGCTGCTTCTTCTTACTTCTTCTTCTTCTTCTTCTGATTAATGGCAGATCATATCTTTACGATATATACCGCCACCTACTGGACTACTACACAGGAGTGTGTAAAAAGGACGTTGGCAAATGATACATCAAATCATAAAAAAAAAAAAAAAAAAAAAAAAAACCCCACTAAATTCTTCTACTTAAACCAGTATCATTAAGATATATAATTAAATATTTGCTTCTTTGTCCCTGCATTCCTTGTTCCTGTAAAATATTATGAATATCATTTTCTGCATCAGCGTCTTTCCATTTCTGTCTGAATTTGTCAAATTTCTTACATTTAAATAAAACATGGGTGACATCCTCCAATACTTTACATTCAGAGCATATGCCATTACTTTTACCTATTAAGGATAAAGTGGAATTAAGGCCTGTGTGACCCAACCTCAATCTGGTTATCATACCTTCTTCATGCCTATTAAGACCCAATGAGGTGATTCTTTTCCCTCCAACACAGTTCTGGTTCCTATGATAATGTCTGGCATTCTTCTCTAACTCCCATTCATCTTGCCACTTTAGTGTAATCTGTGATTTAATTAAAGCTTTAGCATCTCCTTTACCCAATGGAATGTGAATTTGTACTTGGTCTAATTCCAGAGCTTTTTTAGCTAACTTATCAGCAATTTCATTGCCATCAATTCCATAATGTCCTGGAATCCAACAGAACTGTACCACTAACCCAAGGCTTATAATATTTAAAAGAATATGCTTTACTTCTAATACTAAATCTTCACGTATTGCATTATCTGTTATAAAACTTTGTAATACTGCCATAGAGTCAGTACATATAACAGATCTCAGAGGTTTAGTCTCTTCAACCCACCTAAGGGCAGTAATTATTGCAGTCATCTCTATTGAATATACTGATAAATGGTCACTCACTCTATACCCATATCTTTTTCCAAATTCTGGAATGTAAATTCCAATACCACAATGACCCTTGGATTCTTTAGAGCCATCTGTAAATATTTCCAAATATCCATAATATGAAGTTTTTAAATAACTTAAGCAGGCTTCAGTAAAACTTTGCTTAGTGTGATGCTCACCTTTTCCCGCTAATAACTTAATATTTACCTCTGGTACAGGAAGCAGCCATGTAGGAACACAACTTAATGCTAATGCTGGGCCATACTTCAACTCTTTTAATCCATAATGGTTTACTAAATTGCCAATATTCCAACCAAACCCACTGGACTTTTTACAATATTCCCAACAATCACTAAGTACTGACAGAGCTGGATTGTTGAAACTTCCTTTTAACCTTACCCAATAAGTTAGTGATAATTTCTCATACCTTAAATGAATAGGGGTTTCCTTAGATTCAACTAATAAAGCACTTGTATGAGTTGTTTTAAAAGCACCAAGGGCAATCCTCAAAGCCTTAAATTGCATTCTTTCAATTTTCTTGAGGGATGTCTTACAAGCTGAGCTATACATTATACAGCCATAATCAATATTTGATCTTATCAATGCTTTATATATGTTCATCAGAGACAGCCTGTCAGCTCCCCAATTATGCCCAGTGACCATTCTCATAAGGTTAATTACCTTTTTACACTTTGTTTCAACATATTTTATGTGAAATTTCCATGTAAGTTTGGCATCCAACCATATTCCTAGGTACTTATATTTTTCACTTCTTTCAAGTTGCTGATTATAAAGCATAATTTTATAAGTTTCAGGGACTTTTTTCCTAGTAAAATAAACAACCTGTGACTTTGAGATAGAAAATTTAAAACCCCAATCAACTCCCCACTGTTCAAGTACATGAATGTCCTTTTGAATCTTATCATTAACGTATGAAATGTTACGTCCTCTTCTCCAAATGACAGCATCATCTGCATATAATAGACCTTCGTTACTATCTCCCAGTTTTTCATATATGTCATTAATCATTATGTTGAACAATATAGGACTGATAACACTCCCCTGAGGAATTCCATTTTCAACAATAAACTCATCAGACACTGCATCTCCCACTTTGACCCTAATTGAACGTTTAGAAAGAAAATCAAGTATATAATTATACATTTTCCCATTAATTCCCAATTTTCCTAATTTAATCAACAAACCTTCTCTCCACATAGTATCATAGGCTTTCTCAATATCCAGAAAAACTGCCGCCATTACTTCTTTCATTATTAAAGTCTTTTCAATTTCATTGCATACTTTAACCAGAGCATCAGTTGTTGACTTACCCCTCCTAAATCCAGTTTGATACCCTTTAATTGGATTTATGTATTCTAGAAAATAATTTAAACGTCCAACTATAATTTTTTCCATTAATTTTCCAAAATGTGAAGTGAGTGCAATAGGCCTATAGTTTCCTGGATCACTTGAATCTTTACCTGGTTTAGGAAATGGAAGAATTCTTGCCACTTTCCACATGCTTGGTAATTTACCTCCATTCCATACTTTGTTAAACAACTTAAGAACTTTCTCCAATATATTATCAGGTAGTTTTCTAAACATAGCATAACACAGGTTGTCCGTCCCCGGTGCAGAGTATGCAGAATTACTCAATGCCCTTTTAAGTTCTGACATATTAATTTCAGCATCCATAATAGACATATTTGACTCTTTGGTATTTAAGATATTCCTATTTGTTTCCAATACCTCTTCTTTCCTTTTCATATACCGCTCCTCCAGGTGGCTACCCTTGTGTATGTCTGCAAAAGCTCTAGCAAGCATATTGGCTTTTTCCAAATCTGAGATTGCATGGGTCCCATCTTTAATTAAAACAGCAACCTGAGGAGGCTTAAATTTGCCTATCATCTTCTTAATCATCATCCATACTTTATTTAACGTGGTCTCTCTTCCTATTGTTGAGCAAAACTGTCTCCATGAATCTCTCTTAGCCTCTTTAATAACCTTCCTGGCTAATGCCTTCTTCCTTTGGTAGTTAATAAGATTGTCCATTGTTAATGTTCTACGCAAGTTCTTAAACGCTCTATTCCTGTCCTTGATAGCCTCTGAACACTTATCATTCCACCATGGAACATTGATTTGCTTCTTTTGATTTTGACTAACAGGAACGCTTTGGCTGGCAGCAACCAATATAAAAGAACTGACAATACTATTCATTTCATCAACTGTCTGATCATTATTAATTAATATACTTTCCCCATTCCCACAGCTTTCTACAAATTTCTCCCAATCTGCTTTTTTAAAATTCCATCTTTGGGGCACATAACTCTGTTCAATCATAAATTCAATATCAACTGCACATGTAATTGGGAAGTGATCACTACCCATGCTTGTGCTTTGATCTATTTCCCATTCACATCTACTGGCAATTTTCCTATCAACTATAGTTAAATCTATACAAGAAGTTTCATTTTTATAAACATTAATTCTAGTACCATAACCATTATTTAAACACACTAACATTCTATCATTCATCATTTCTTCCACTGCCTCACCATTCAAATTTGTCTGTTTACTGCCCCATAAACTGTTGTGAGCATTGAAGTCCCCACACCAAATCTCTCTGTGACTTCTCTTAACAATACTTTTCAATAACTCACTATTTAATGCTTTACATGGATTATAATAGTTAATGATAGTAAAATTACCACTACCTTTGTTAAATATTTCAGTTACCACACATTCGTGGGCCTTGGAATTAATAGACCTATACGGTATTCCTAATTTAATAAATGTCATACACCCTCCTCCTCTGCCTTTTTCTCTATCACATCTAATACCATTATATCCTTTCAATACAAAATCAAGGTGTGGTTTTAACCATGTTTCTTGAATGCATATGACCTCAGGTTTTTCTTTCAAATTGTGTATATATCTCTTAAATTCTTGACCATTTGTTATTAGACTTCTGGCATTCCATTGAAGAATGAAAAATACCATAAGGCTTTTAATCACTATTTTGACCCTCATATTTACAATTCAGTATCTCTTGAATTTTACTAGCTTGTGAGCTAAATCCTAAAAAGTCATTTGCAATATCCACAATTGATTTTACCGTATTACTTCCCTGATGAGGTTCAGTTGCTTTACTGATCACTGCGCAAATGAAGGCAAGGAAGTCATTTTTCTTGACCAACATTATTTCTTCTGACATTTTCTTTTTGAATTCACAGTATTCTGACTGTTGAGAGTTACATTTAGGCCTACTGACCTGTTGGACTCTCTCATTATGATGGCTCCTGTGGTTTACTCTGCTTATTGGGTTGCTAGCATTTGCTTCCCGAGCTTGCTCTGGTGTATACTGGGGAACAATTAAGCTAGCACCTTTCTTTTCTATTTCAATTTTCTTAACCGCCTCAGCATAGGAAACTTTATGAATCATTTTGCATTTCTGGACTTCTTTTGCCTCTTTGTGCTTCTCACAACCTCCATAAGCTGCACTATGATTGCCACCACAATTACAACATTTTAATACAGCATCTTGCTCACATTCACCATACTTGTGTTCTCCTCCACATTTCGCACATCTAATTTTTCCTCGACATTGGCTAGCAGCATGACCATACCGTTGGCAATTAAAACATCTTAACGGCGGCGGGATATATTCTCTCACTGAGTATGACATGTATCCCATTTGAACCCTGCTAGGTAGTTCTTTCTTGAAGCCTAATAAAATAGACAGGCTTTCTATTTTATCTTTACCTTTTGTCAACCGCTTAGCTTCACTTAAATCATAATCTTTTAAACTTTCCATGATCTCCTCTATTGAAACTGAAGTTGGGATTCCAGATATTACTCCTCTGACCTTAGATGTTGCACCCGGAATATGTGACGTTACTTTGAGTTTGTTGAGTGTGGTTTTCTTGAGAATATTACTTTGTTGTTCCTTAGAATTTGCAAAGATCAGCATTCTCCCATTACCCATGAAACGTGCGTGATTAATCTTGCCTATTTCCTTCTCTATTGCTTTCGTGATATGTATTGGATGTAAATCTGGTCCTCCCTTTTGATC